TGTTTTCTATTTGTCCACAACTAACTTATCTGTCTTTGTTTAGAAATAATATCTCTAGTGTGCCGAAAGGGGTGTTTAATACGATGAATTCACTGCAAACGGTTCATCTGGCCCAAAACGAGATTGGGACGATCGAGCCAGGTGCATTCAATGGGTTGAATATGAATATGATTTACCTCTTGGATAATAAAGTGGATAAAGTCATTGAGACAGGTACCTTCAGTGATCTATCTGTTCTGGACATAAATCTGAGCGCCAGTAACATTCGAGAGCTGAAACCAAGAGCTTTCAATGGCCTTTCTGCAAGGGAGCTTGATTTAAGTGAGAATAAATTCACGCAAATCGGCGCTGAAGATTTTTATGGACTCAAGGTTGAGGAACTCAGGTTGAAGAACAATAATATTACTGCTATTGCTCCAAATGCCTTCAAGAATACTAAGGTGGAGAAACTGAGGCTGTTTGGTAATCCAATCGATGATAAAGATAGAGCAATTTGGGGTCTTCCAGAAACAACAAAAATATTATGGAGTGAATACTGATGTTGATCAGCAAGATTAACAATCGAGTAAAGAATATTTTCCTTATTAAATGCATTCTACAAATATCAATTGAACATAGTTAATAAGTATGGCATTAATTCCCAAGTACAATTGTAGTTGAGTTATATTATCTTTAGACATATTACAATTAATTCCAGAATTTGTTGTTGTCTGTCCCTCTCAAATAGATTTTCAACTCACACTAGATTGAATTTGGATAAAAAAGTCGACAGGCCTTGGAAATTAAAATTGTTCCTTTTGTTTTTCCTTTTTTTCAACTCAATTTCTCCATCTTCATTGTCCTCTGTACAGTGTAAGTATCTGGTATATATAATCAACGACAACTAAAAATAATGGATGTAATAATCTCATAATTAAGAAATTGAGTATGTTAAACAAAATATATTGAAAAATATTCAAAATTGTCTCAATTTGTAATATCAGTATTTTTTATAAAGTGAAAAAATATATAACTAAAAAATCCAAGTATATCCCTTGATTTTATCCTAGAATTCGATTGATGTACAACCGTTGTTTCCGGACGAAGTATTTCTTCTTAATCTTGTTGCTACAAAAAAAAAACAGAGAAAAGCTGATACTGTTAGTATTAAACAGAATGTTATTGTCTTGTCGATAAATAAATTGTGTAACTCTAGAAGTGTATGTCTGTGTATCTGAGTCATTCTAATCGGACTAGTCATTATCAGCACGTCGAGATTGATTTTATTGACAATCATTTAATTGTCGACGATAATTATAATCACACGAAGTGCCTTGATAATTACATAATTTGTTATTAAACAGACTAGACTATCGATGGCGCGTCAATAATAATTTAAAAAATTGAATTAAATTGGACGATTAATGACCGTTCTGCTCAGTTCGTCTAAAGAGTTCGCTGTTTGACCAATGGCGGTATCTTGGAGCAATGAAGATATTCATTGGAATCGATTTGTTTGTGCACTCAGTACTTCACCATATTGGATTTTATTTGTTTGGAAATCATATTTCGAGTACCCGAAATGGGACGACACCATGAAATCACTGAAGGCAGTTCATCCAGCTCAAAATGATACTAAAAGGATAGAGGCAGGTGCATTCTCCGGATTGAATATGAATGCTCTTTATCTCTTGGACAATAAAGTGGATAGAGTCATTGAGACAGGTACATTCAGTGGTCTATTTGTTCTGTAATTAAATCTGAGGGCCAACAATATTCGAGAATTGGAACCAAAAGCTTTCGATTGTCCTTGTAAATCTTTCTGTGAAAGACTTTGATTTGAGTGAGAATAAATTCACACAAATCGTTGAGAATCTTCATCAACTGAACGTTAAAAACCTGAAATTAAATAATAATAATATTACAACAATTGCAGTAAATGCATTCACGAATACTAAAGTAAAGGAACTGATGTTTTACGGTGTTCCAGTCGAGGATGCAGACAAGGAGAGTCCGAGTCTCTCTCCAGAGATAGAAATATTAATATTTTACTACAACATTCGCTGTAAAATGTCGAAAATTTATCTGCTTGACTGTTTCACTCAGAAGTCGATACAATCAAATTATGTAATTTGTTCCAGAAGACTTTGGCCATGAACTCCTAGCAGCAGCGTCTAGAGTCAGCGAAGATAATCCACAAATAAAGATGTTTTGATTCAGTATTCGATCCCCGTGAGATGAAGACCGAATGCCACGACATCTTTAACTTTGATCCTCCGTTGAGAAAAATGCTACAATGTTATTACGAATATGACGCCAGAAGTTGTTATTCCAATGTCAATCTAGCTGGCCTTCAATGTCTCAACCGCAAACTATAAATGGCTAGCATCGTACAATCTGATCCAGTGTTCTCCTGAAAGTAACGACGTCACAATTAATTATCATAATTTTCTAAACCATGAATACAGTTAGGCTTATCAGTCTAGCTCTAGTGTTGGTATTTGCACGCGGTGAAGATGAAGTCTGCACAGACAACAATTTGGATTTCAAAATCTGCAAGAAGGGTAATACCCTGACACGAATAACTCACGACCACAGGATCTTCTCCGGTAAATTTTTGAGCCTTGAAATCGAGAGGGATATAATTATCAGTGAAGATGCACTAATCAGTTTGAATCTGCAGACGCTGACACTGGCATGTGATCGTCGCGGCGTAGCACCAGAAACTCCTCTGCCCTCTGTTTCCTTGTCTTCGAATCTACTCGCGAGTCTGACTAATTTGACAGATTTGAAGTTAGAAAATGTGGAGATTGATCCTATTGGAGGATTGCTGCGTCTCCCTAATTCTCTGGACCATCTGATTGTCGAAGGTTGTGAGCTCAGCGAAGTGCCAAGTGACACATTAGCAACAGCTCCAAAACTAGTGGATCTTTCTCTTCGAAGAAATCGCATCCAGACCATCAAGCCAAATGCTTTTGCTGGATTGAAGCACCTGAAGAAGCTTGGCTTGAGTCAAAATAATGCCCTCGAACATCTGGAGGAAGGTTGCTTCAATGGGCTCGATAAACTGGAGTCATTGGAACTAGGCGAAAATTACATTACTCTAAGGCCTGGGCTTTTCAAGGGACTCAATAACCTGAAGAGATTGTATCTATCCAAGTCTTTCAATGGCATGGGATTTGAGCCCTCTCTGCTGCAGGATGTGCCAAATCTTGTTGCTCTGTATGCAAGGTACAATGGGTTATCATCTCTTCAGCCTGGAATGTTTGATGCGCTTCAGAATTTGGAAAACCTTTTCCTCACGGGAAATACTTTGACGCACATTCCAAAAGGCGTTTTTAACCAGCTCAAATCGCTGAAGCAGTTAAATTTGGGGAATAATTCGATTGAATCTATTGAACCTGCTGCATTTTCCGGACTGAATCTCACAAGTCTTACTCTCTCACTCAATAGTCTAGAAAACATAAAAACTGGAATCTTCAATGATCTGAATGTCACGAATCGATTGTCTCTGAGCGATAATCTCATTTCCACATTGGACCCTGGGGCTTTTCGGAATTTAAATACCCAGCGATTGGATTTGGCGAAGAATAGATTGACTGAAGTCCATGCTGATGATTTCTTAGACCTCAATGCTGATGAATTAAATTTGAGTGAAAATTCAATTACAACAATTGCGCCGAATGCTTTTTCGTCTACTAAACTCAATCTGCTGGAGCTTGTATCAAATCCGATTAAGGAAGCAGATAAAAGTGGATGGGGCCTTTCAAAATCTGCGGAGATATCCATGGAATAAATTATTCTTGGCATAATTTTTCCTTGATGACACATAATCATGAAGTTTCTGTAAAATTTTGAATAGATTTTAATAAAGTGGCTGACATTTCTGTGATTATTTGTTTATTTATATGATTTACCCTGCAACATCTGGACATCTACATTTTTATTGAACTATTCATTGTTATTATTTTCAGTATTATTTTTCATTATTATTTTTCATTATTATTTTTCAATGAAACAGAATGCGTTGCGGATTATGTTGATGTGCATATTTAGAATTCTTTCCGCAAAACCCGTTACCATAGTTGCGGTATCATTTGCCGGTTCATATTTCCCACGGATCACTTGCGGGTAATTAAATAATAACGATTCAATTTGACGTCAATTGTGCTATAAAAACGAGAGTTCTGCGCATATGATAAAGATTTATCATAATGATTAGTTTTCTTTGTCATTGATACACGTATTAATAATTAATATTAATCGTTAATTTACGAATGTACATTAAATGAATGATTGGGTTATTAAAAAATGGATTTTGAAGGAATTTATCTATTCTTCAAACATTCTAGATTAGATTCTCGCGGTTATAACGAAATAGATTTAAATGAGTCTCTGTTTTTTTATTGATAAAATCATTTCGAAATGATTTCTATGACTTCCAACATTTTTAGTTGTGATTTCCAATGATTTTTAATCTATTTATTCCTTCATAATGAAATAATAAATTAATATCGTTAATAAATGATTGTTTCATGTCTATGAAATCAAATAATGACATTCATAAAATCCGTAGAGATAATCTCATGAGGTCAAGAGTAGAATTTTCGATGATTACAAATGTCAACGGATTATCATTACGGAAGACTAATGCGCATTTGTTACATAAGAGATTAATTATCAATTCATTTCAGTTTCGTCTAGACCGGTATGAAGAACAGATCAATTAGAAAAGACAATAATTTAATTAATAATTACTTTATGTTACAGCTCCATTGTGTTTCGGATAGCTCAGTCTCAGATGTCGAAAGGATGAAGAAATCTATGAAGATATTGACTGTCAATCAATCAGAGAAGACAAGTCACTGAATCTACTTCATGAATTGATAAATAATTGAAGTATCAGTGAGACAATTGGAGAAGATTTTGTGAACAATCACTAAAAGAAGAACTGGAGTAATGAAGTTTAGCACAGAAATCTATCTCATATCTCTGGTGTTATCAATCCGTTTGTTATCAATAACCAGAAGCTGCGAGTTTTCCTCTCTCAATAGATCAGATCGCATAATTAATGTCGATGGAAACACAACTCGAGTGATAAAAATAGGGAATTCTGATCGCTTTGACATGATGTTCGGAACTCCATACGCCATCATCGACCCTCAAGCATTTGATGGTTCGGGGGTGAAGACTTTGCACTTGAGCTTTAATACTTCTAATCATACATCTAATGAGGCAAGTAATTACGGGAGAATCTTGCTGACACCAGAATCATTCGTTGGTTTGGATCTCGACAGTCTTTCCTTGAAGGGTACAGATCTGACTTTGAACCGAGATGGTTTGACTCCTCTAAGATCACTCAATCATCTCACTTTGAAATCCTGCAATATCGTCGAAGTACCCACGATTCTGTTGATGTCCTTTCCAAAACTCCAATCGCTCATACTATCTCACAATAATATGACTGTCGTTCATCACAACGGCTTTGAGAGCTTGCAACACTTGTGGTACCTTAATTTGTCCTCAAACAACATCACAACATTCGAGTCCGGTTGCTTCAACGGACTTGAAGAATTAGAAAGATTGGATCTCTCTGGGAATTCTTTTATTCTTCTGCCTGATGCTTTTGAAGGATTGCCCAAATTACTGGAGCTCCACGTCCGGAACTGCCCTAATCTCAAAGAAATTGATGACAATGCTTTCCGAGCGACACCTACTCTAACAGCACTCACAATATCAGGTACTGGAGTTCGTTCTTTACAACCTGGAGTATTTGATGGTCTTCTTCGTTTGAAATGGCTGCAATTGAGTGACAATCAGATCAATCGGATACGAAAGAACCTGTTCAATAAACTGGAGTCGCTGGAGTATCTCTTCCTGGATAATAACAGGATTATGAGAATGGAATCGCATGCTTTTTCGCGGCTCAATCTTCGATATCTTGGGCTTTCTTACCAGAGTCCGATGGATTCTGACACGTTTCATGTACAGAGACAAGTCATTGAGAATAGAACTTTTGATGGTTTGACCGTCGACATCATCTCCATGGTTGGTACATTGAATCCTAATATCACACCGGCGGCTTTTGACGGCCTGATTGCTGGATTAGTCGATTTACATTGTGCTAATTTAGGTAATATTGAGACGGACATATTTATTGGACTCAATGTGAGGAAACTGGACTTGAGGCTAAACAGAATCTCGATCATTGTCGCAGACGCTTTCAAAGAAGCTGTTGTTGAAGAACTGGATCTTTCGTTCAATTCCGTTAAAATAACGGATTATCCCAGTTGGGGTCTATCTGAAACAGCTCTTGTCACCATTTAGAAGGACAGGTTGAAGTAATAGATATTCTTTGGCCATTTTTTTATTCTCTGGGATTAAAAAAAATCAATACAGATTATGTCAGTGTTTTGATAATTCATTGAACGAAATAACTTATTTGGAAGGACTAATACGAATTGTTTTAAACAAATAACAAAATTTGAGAATTGATTCGTATGTTTTCGTTTTGATTTGGAAATGAAGTCGTATTTATGTTATTAATAAAATTTTGTTAAGAGAAAAGAATTGTTTGTTTCATTCCTTCCTTGTGATAAGAAACAAAAAGTATTCCTTTTTTCGGATTTTGAAAATAATTTATGCATTCGAATCATTATATTTCTTTCTGAATTATTTGTTTAACTATTGATTTACCAGTTTATATCAGTATTTATAAAAAAAATAACTGTTGAATGGTGTTCTTAATTCATCTTTGAACATTGATATTAAATTATCAAAAGATTAGATATAATACAAAGAAGGGGAGAGTCGGGCAAAATGGGGCACTCATGAAAAAGCGGTTTTAATTCATTTTTTTTTTGAAAAATGTTTGAGACAATCTAAAAATGTCCCAGTGTTTTTCGCAAATTACACTTTTTCTTTTAATCACACTGTTGCCTTCTTACTTATTTTATTTATTTATTAATTTAATTTAATTTAATTTTTTTCTTATTTTTTTATTTTTAAAATTTAACATTTTTTTATCAGTTAAATATAATAAAATTCTGGAAAAATTTAAATGTTGAATAATGGATTCTTACATTCACTTCATTGAAATTCCCTAATTCATCCCTTCCCCCACTCCATCTTATCCTGTGCCCCATTTTGCCCCCGCGTTCTGTCTTCCCCGGGTCTTTTCTATATGAATTCTTTATTTTGTATCAATAAAAAATGCATAGAGACCTAGACATTTGCCCGTCATTGTCAATCAATAACAAAGAATTCAACTGAATTTTACAGCCTCAAGGGATCATTATATCGACATTATCGAGAAAAATGAGTTGCATCGGGTTTTCTACGAACAGTCTTATTATTGATTATGTTATTTTCATTTTTATGGCAATCGTTACGAGTACGAAAATTCATATTCCGTTTATACGCTCAATTTTTAGAATTCAGTGGTCATTAATAATTGGTTCGTCAATACCTGGTCGTTAAATTTTTAATTGAACATTTGGTCTGCATCAAATGATATTGTTCATAAAAAATCTACTCTAATTTAATCTTTTGAAATCTAATCTAGTATTGGAAGAATCATAATTTATATAAAAAAATAAATTAATAAGATGAGAAAAATTGAAATGATATTCAAGTTTCCTGTTTATTTTAAATTTTAAGGATTTCGATTAAAGCTTTTGAAAAAAAATTGCAGATTTATTAAAAAACATCAGATCGGCACAAGAGAAATTCGCGTGTTGGCCAATAAAAATTCCAGTGTCGGCATTAGAATCTGTCTGAAAATTTCTCTCTGAGCGGAAAGTTCGGTTTAGTCGCTAGTGATTGGGACGGAGTTTACTGCGCATATTCCGCTCTGAAAAGAGTCTTAATATAAAAACTTAATAATGATTATGCAATTAAATGATAAAACGAGTAAAATATAATGTACTTTTAACAGTTGATTAAAATATATCGAATATTTAATAAGAAATCTATCTTCCATGAACTTTCATGAATCACCAATCTTCTCACAGTTTCTGGTCAAATAATTTATTGTTAATGAAAGTGTCAAAGAATTTTTTTCGCCAGTAATTCACAAAGAATAAAGAATTTTTCAGTTCACCAATAAATAATCAAGAATAGTAATTAATTAAGTAAGATCAATATAATGAGAATCAATATAAATAGAATGCATAAACGTCGCAAACAAATTGATTGTTTATCTCATTCTTCTATAATTTCTAGGACACAAACAGGATTTTAAATAAATGAAATGTTAAACAATACTTTTAACTTTAGATAAACTTAAAATTAAACAACGATAAAGTATTGATGAACAACGCACAACGCAAAGTTGTGGCGGGAAGTAAATATTACGTATAGTCACTGCATGTCTCTTCCTTATGTAAACTGTTGTAGTTGTGTGAACCGATCGTTCCATTTCAAGATGATTGAGAAATGAAAGTGGTACTGCAAACGAAAGTTGTATGCAGAAATGAAAGTTGCATCCAAGTTAATAAAAATGTAACTACTCACAGAATTGTTACGATTCCGCGGCGCATGGACAAACAAATTGCAGCGTCTATATGTTGTTTCACGAATTCCAACAATTTCCAGTTGTTTGTTGTCAATACGAATAATTATTGAATTCCAAACATCAGCAAGTGGTGAATACTATTTTCCATGTTGATTAGTCTTTGTTGCAGTGTTGTTGAATTTGCAGAAGTACTTGTTAAGGACTGAAGAAGTGGGTGAGAAAATTCGATGGGCCTGATATTATAGCAAGTCAAACATTACTGTTTACAATTGTTATAAATTCTCGTAACCAAGGCAGGCGGTCTTCAGTGGGTATTTTCTAGTGGGCAGTAAACCTTCTGTTCAATAAAATATTGACCGCACTCGACGTTTGTTCACGTTCACACAGCAATTGCGTGCCGTTACCGTGAGTATAATTTCCATACACTCCTAGAGGGTTCCTGAAAAATTGATGGAATTTATTAATAATTACATGATTATGGTGAAAGCATCATATACCCATGACAGTCGTAAACGTTGACTCGCCGGTTGAGGTTCTATGACAGCATTGAAACACCAAGATGTGTGCGGAAGCGTTATCAGTGGTGAATTTTTATGAAGAAAAATCGATACTTATCACTGGTGCCACAGGTGGAATTGGAAAACTACTGATTGAAAAATTGCTGAGATCCTGTCCCAACATCGGCAAAATCTATGTGCTTCTACGGTCGAAACGCGGGGAGAGTGCGACTCAGAGAATTAATAATTTAGTAAACACACCGGTAAGTCATGAAAGAATTGCAGTTGCACGAAAAAAAATATTTAGGAAAAATTACGGAAGTTTCAGTTCCATCACCGATATCGACTGGAAAAATTGAAGTCACGGATTCTTAATTTTGGACAGATAATTCAGTATTTCTTTCCGTGCGCCATTTCAAGTTTTGAAATTTTACATTTTTAACAACAATAAAGTGACACGAAATTTTTGTACAATTCTTCATTGACGAATTAGTTGATTTTTCAAATAGTTTGGTAATCTTTAATTTTCAGGTCTATGTGGGACAGGAAAAGCGAAAGATTGTTGAAAATTCAAATGATAATTTCCCTGAATTTGAAATCTAATGAAAATTTAGTTGTATCTGATGCTGATTCAAGTTTTGATTGACAAATCAATTATCATTTAAAAAGAAAAATCTAATTTTCTTGAACTTTCAAGATGAAGACGACAAATTGAATGACTTTAATGATTTTAAATAATTCAATGTTTTAGATTGAAGTTGAATTCAAATTCATGTAATTGAAAATTCAGATAATTCGTGAGTGAAATGTCAAGACATTTCTAACAGTGCACTATTAGAAAATTGCCCTTGAACTCTTTTGCAATTGAAAAAATGATCTAAATCCGCTTTAGAAATTCTAATTGAATTCAATTAATTAAAAATCAATTACATATGATCTTCGATTCTCTCGTTGAATCTGTAAATTCAACTTTTCATCGAAAGAACGATAGATTAATCAAATTTCTTCAATTCTCAAATGAACCAGAAATTTCATGAACGTTTTTAACTGAAATTGAATTGAAACCCAAATTTTCGAGAATCCAGATGGCATTTTGATGGAATTTGAAGAAATTTTTCACAATGAATTATGAATTATGAAGCGAACAAAGGTTCAATGGATCTGTTAAGACTGGCAAGAAAGGCCGGGTTGGAGATATAATCCTCGCATAAAACAAGCGAAGCTACAATAACTCTAATCTGAGTTCGGTGGCGATGGGGAGGCTAATCCGACCATCCGCATACTTAAATCTAATCTAAATCTAAAATGAATTATGAATTTGATGAATTCAGATTTTTCACAAACTGCGTGGTTCCGATCCTGGGATACTGTCCAAAGTCGTTATGATCGAGGGAGACTTGTGCCAACCAGATTTGGGAATTTCCGAAACAAACCGAGAAGAGCTGATGAAGAACGTTTCCGTTGTATTCCACTGTGCAGCAATTTTGCAATTCGATTTGAGTCTGGAAGATGCATTATCAATCAATGTCTTCGGGACTCGGCGGCTGTTGCTGTTGTGTTATAGAATGACAAAAATCGAAGTAAGTAATTTGAAAATTTTTATTCCTCTCGTTGTTGTGTTTGCAACGTACATAATTATGTAATTGATTTTCCACAGGCTTTCGTTCATGTTTCAACTTTGTACTCGACCTGCAATCAATCTAAGATTGAGGAATGCATCCCATCAATTCCCGTTCTGAATGGGAGACTTGATTTTAACAAAAGTGTGAGGGAGTTCGTGATGGAAATTCCTGAAGATGTGGTGAAGGATTGGCCCAATACGTATTCCTTTTCGAAAGCCCTTGCGGAGATTATGTTGAATGCTCACAAGGGCACATTACCGATAAGTATTGTAAGACCGTCCATCGTTTTAGCAACGCTCAGGGAGCCAATGCCAGGGTGGATCGATAACTTTTATGGCCCTACGTTATCAATTTCTAATGGAGCTCTGGGCATATTGAGGTAAGTAACGTATCATAATTTGCTGTACTACTTCTCACGATTCTCACGATTCTCCCCTCAAGAAATTTATACCCTTCGAGCTCGAAAACTCAAGGGAAAAATAAGGAAGACGTCTCCCCGTGAAAATTACGGAGAAAAATATTTTCTGGTTTTTTGTGAGAATTTTTTTTCCACTAAAGAAAGCAATTGCAAAAGCCCAGATATTATATTATTTCAAGATCTTATTCAAACATCATTTCTTCTCATACGCCATTAGACGGTTTTTCGAAATTTTAATGGAGAATTGAATTTGTGAAATTGAAAATATTTTGATACCAATATTTTGAGTATCAAATCTCTGGCTCTGTACCTTCTTTCGGGAAATAATTGAAATATAATATCATTTTTGGACAAGGCCATGTACTTCTTTGAATTTTATCCTGTTACTAATGAAACTTCCATTAAAAATGACACGAGAGAATTTCTAATTACAATTTTTTGAAAGACACGTTTTAATAATTTGTCCCAAAATTTTTATCAACAACTTACCTATCTCTAGAGTTCCCAGGAACATTGGCTTTAGTTCTATCCAGCAAAGTAACCTTGACCTACAAAATTACCGGCATTATACTGTTGAAGCTTTCTGGGGCTCTAAAAAACAAAGTCTATCCTTATTAATTCCATTCTCATTTACCTGGAGTACATAAATAGATTCGATTTGTATCAACAAACAAATGTATGACAAATGTAATTAAAGACTAAAGATATTAATAAACTAAAACTGTTTAATTGTTTATTTTGTTTCAGGTCAGTTATTTGTGACGGTGAAAAAATAGGTGACATCATACCATCAGATCTTGTAGTAAATTTACTGGTAACCGTTGGCTGCAAGACGAAATACCAGGGAACGAGTGTAATTAAAGTTTACAACAGCTGTACAGGCCGGCAAAATCCGATGCGAATGAAGCAGTTGCTCGATGACTGCCAGAAATATTCACGGATGTATCCGCTAATGAAAGCAGTGAGGTATCCAAATTTGACGTATCGATCGTCTTACTTGGTTCATTGGATTGTCTCAAAATTCCAACATCGATTATTATCTTATATCCTCGATTTCGTTGCTTTGTTCACGTCCAAAAAGGGACGCATGATACGCATTCATAATACACTGTCTCGAATTTTGGCAACTTTGGATTATTTTACTCTGCGTCAGTGGGCTGTTGACGATTGCAATGTTCAAAGACTTATCAACGAGATGAGTGAGAAAGAGAAGGACTTATTTTACTTCGATCCAAAAATCATCGATTGGAAATTGTATGTGAAGATTTACAGCCTCGGCATCAGGAGACATCTTTTCAAAGAAAGCATGGATGATATAGAGGAAGCTAAAGCACGGATGGCCAAGTAATTGAATTATTTTCTCCCTTTACGTACATTGAGAAAAAAAAGTGTCGATTAAATATGTACGTTCTTTATTAAAATTGGAAATGAAATGAAATTGTTTTCGTTAGCGGCCAATTTGATTCTCGAATTGAAGAAAAAATGGATTGAATGATTATTTATTGATGCCTTTTTTTCTCAGTGCGGGAAGGACTAAATAAAGGAATAAATCATTAATCTATTTTTTTATTTTAGTTTGTACTGGATGGAGAGATCACTGCAGCTTTTTATGTCAGTCGCGTCAGTTATGACAGTCTATTATTGGATAAAATCACGATCCAGTCGACATCAATGAGAATATAAAAGAATTTTGTATTATAGTATTGATATCGAAGGAAGAGAAGTGATAAGTGAAATATGAAAAGTGGAGAGAGAAGTAGAATTATATCTTCTCCCGTGGAATTGTATCCACCCACAATACCGGAAGTTAAGAATCTGATAATTATCTTTTTGGTCAACTAAGAAAAGGTAAAACTTCTTAAAAGTAATAACATACAGCTGCGATGGGATAGCCATCAAAGGATCCAGCGATGGGACACGAAAAGGCCCTCCAAGTATTATTCGGAAGAAAATTGTGCGGCATACGATGAACTTCACAAATTGTTTGGGGATCTTCCACATTGGAATGAAATGGGTCTCAACAAATATAATAAATATAGTTTTTATCAATCTTCGAAGACCAATCCATTTTTATCTATCAATCACAAGTGCATTCAACAAATTGAATTGAATGGGGAACTCAAAGAAAAGTTCGTAGTGTTGTCCCGCAGTCTGTGAGGAATTAATGTGCAATATAACATAATGACTCGGTGTTTTTACAATCATGAACTGTTTAGAGTTTAAAAAGATCATAAATAATTGTATCGATACATAATTATTCTCATTGACGCCAATATGATATTTCTTTATTCACAAGAATTCACTGTGAATATGTTATATTTATGAGATAGAATGACAGAACAATATTTTCAACAAGTTAATATGCTATGTTAAAGGATATTTTCATATTAAATATCAAACTTGATACAAGATATGTTGTGGAATAATATCAAACGTTTATTCATAAATTACTTCAGAATTTGCACCGATTCTTCAAGCCCCAACTTGGCTCTGTCAGTAATCTTAACAGGAGTACCGTAAAGGCCAAGTTCTTTGATGTCAGTATTTATGAATGCATCCGATTTGATGGAGTTGATGTAATTTTGGCTCAAATCCAAGGCCTTAGTCTTGAGCCCGGAAAAATCATGGGCCCCAACTGATGTTAAAGCGTTCTGAGAGAGATCTAGCATGCTTGTAACTCGCAAAGAATTGAAAGCTTTCGGTTGAATTACTGAAATACTATTTCTTGCCAGACTCAAACGAAAAAGTGTAAGGCCCCTGAAGGTATCAGTTAAAATAGTTTTCAAGGGACGATTGAGAGACATGATCAAGCTATTGAGAGTCAAATAACCAAATGCGCCTGGTGTTATCGTTTCAATTTCATTGTCAGCTAGAGAAAGCTCCTTCAATGACGTGAGCCGGTTGAACACTCCCGTTGGAACTTCACGAATTTTATTACCATATAGTGATAGGTCACGCAACCGCCAGACAGCATCGAACATTCCAGGTGTCAGTGTCGTTATATTATTGGCAGCCACTTGCAACAGGTCAAGGTTCGGTACATCGTTAAGAATGTGTGGTTGAAATCCATTATCATCGAAGCAATCAGATAGATGGAGTGTCTTCAACATCGTCAAACCTTTCAGAAGTTCAGGCACAGCTGGAAAAGCGTTGGCAGATAGATCCAAAACCCTTAGTGCTCCGAGTTTTTCGAAAGAACCTGGCTGGATGTTCTTAATTTCATTGAAACTCAAATCTATCTCCTGTAGAGATGCCAGATTGTCGAGATCATTAGCATGAATAGCATTTATCTTATTACCCCTCAACGATAGTTCCGTGAGGTGTGGAAGAGACTGTAGGACTTTAGTTGGCACTTCCGTCAGATTGCCGTTATTGATTTCTAGATTCTTTAATGATGGAACTGGAAGTAGTGGGTTGACCCCATTCAAATTGATGTTGGCGTTGTCGATGTCTAGAGTTCTTAAGTTTGGTAAACCAGCGAGTGAATTTGGAAATAATACCAAATAGCGAGAAGAAGCTCTGTCTTCAGTATTTATGCTTGGAAGATAAAGACGTAATATCTCAAGTTCAGAAGTACTGAAGGCATTTTCACCGATTGTTGTATCACCCACCAGTTCCAAGGTAAGATGACTTTTGAAAGACGTGTCTTTGTCCGTAATTCGAGTAATTATGCCAGATTTTTCACAGAGTTCGAAACCCCAATCGACTCTAGAACAGATTTCACGATTATTGCCGGCTGCGATTGATACGAGAAGGATGAAGATTAATCCGCTGATTGTCTTCATTGCGTTCCGAATTGCCACTCGATGATGCCGGTCTGCTTCTAACTCAAGACTACTGATAACTGAAGACCTACCACTGCTGGAAGATTTTAATTTATGTCTTGATCAGATGCTTTTCTGATGACTTTGACTTGGGTCAAGGCATGACAGTTCATTTAGAAGTGCTTGAAGTTTAATCCATGACCTTGTTGATGTTATTCATGACTGAGATTAGCAATTGCATATCTGGCGAGTCTCAAATGGATGAACTTTTATATATTTTATCAGCATAAAATATTGAAAATTTTTACAATTACTCTTTATTTCAAGTGCTATAGATAATCAACTGCTGCCACTGTACAATGAACATCGACACATTGCATAAATGTCTCGACGTAGTTTCTCATGCGATATTCAATGTTTATAAGGCATAGGTCTAGGCACTTGAGCTCAATATCGCAGAACTCTAATCAATTTCTACTAGGGCAATAGCCAAGTAGTACAGTCTATCACCTCGTATTTCAGTTGAAAAATAGCGTGTAGCTAAATATTTCATAGATTTCGTTCTCAGGGATTGAATTTAAACTTAAGTGTTCCATTTTTATTATATCTAGTTATAATAGAATAATTTAATATATAAGAATCTAAGGCAGAACGAAAAATGTAGTGAAGGGAAGAATATATTCTTTCTGGAAGAGGAGAATTTTCGTCTGGAGCTCAATTTTCAATCTTTGGGCAACTAAACGTAAAGCGAATTCCGAAGGCATCAATCTTTGGATTGATTCTTTGTTTTTGTTCGGTTCTTTGTATCGAACTTCAAATTTCGAAATGTCTGAGAGCTCTGGACATGTGGAAAAAAATTGTTTTATCTTCAAAGAAGCCTGTGGCATGTTTCAATGTTGATGAAGATCACCCAAATTCAAATAAGTATACTTAGATACTTGAATTGAGCATAAAATATACTTGACTTAAGAATTTTGTGCAGTAACTACATGTAATACCACAAAATCTCTAAAATTATTGGGTTTTTCCCGATTGGTGTTGTATGTAGAAATTGAGAAGTCAAGTTTGGCATTCAAAAAATGATCTTTCTGGAAAGTTTGACGACTTCATTTAATTGCGACAAAGCTTGACGTAAATACCGGACTAATTGTGGAGCTCGAGTGATATTTCAGGCATTAGTTTTTTATCCAAATTTCGGTCAATACAATTGCGCAAACATCTTAATCCATTCGCTTCCTCTTTAAAAAAAATCCAGATATAACGAAAATTGTGTCCGTTTATCACCACATCGCTTTCCGCAATTCGAGCTGATTGGCGTAAATAAAAAAACAGACACGAGTCGAATGCCTTTGACCCCATCTCAAAGTCGGTGGAATATCGTATCTTATCGACGGCTCTATTTCTCGTTCTTGAAAATATGATTGAAAAATCTTTATGTGATGCAAAGAAATGTACTTCTCGTTCAATCATTTGCAGTTTATCTAATGACGCCTGCGGCTGCGTTTGATCATGAAATAAATTATGAAGAATGCGACGATGGGAATGGACGATTGCACGATGTTCTCCACCCAATAAAGCCTGCAAACGTAAGAGAAAAGGTTAATTCTAGGATCAGAAGGTGGGATAGGTAAAAATAACAGCTGTTGTGACAAATACTTCTTCATCCTTGCTATCGCTTCGTCCAAATTATCCAAATCTTCTTTCAATAGATGCTTTCTTATCCCCAGTATATAATCTTTGAGCCAAGCCTTCCAATTGATTTTCTTCACATCGAACTCGAAAACCTCTCGATCTTTGTCACTAAGTTCTTCATTAAGAATTTCCACGTTACGATCGCAGACTATCCACTCACGAAGACTGAAGAATTTCGTGGTCTTTGCAATTCGTGAAACCGATCTATGAATCCGAGACAGCCGAGATTTTTTAAAAGTACAAAAGGCCACAAGATCAAAAATGTAAGCGACGAGATGATGATGTACTGCAGATCGAAGCTTGTGTGTTAATTCGGATGGCGTGAATCGCCAATTTGGATATCGAATAGCCGCCTTCGATGGATACATCGTAGAAAGTATTTGGCTTTCTTTAAGAAAAAATTTTACTGTCAATGGATTTTGCCTTCCCGAGCAGATGTTGTAAACTCTGATTTCCTCAGTGTCTTGGTATTTTGTTTTATGAGCCACACATATTAATAAATTGACAACCATGTCGGAGGGTATGACATCGCCGATTTTTTTACCGTCAGCAACAACAGATCTGCAATAGAATCCTCCAGACATCAGCATACTCTACGATCATTGATCCATTCAATTGTCAAAATTATTTGTTATTATGTACCTAATTATTCCTAAGGCACCGTTGACAACCGTGAGCGTTGGACCATGGAAATTATCGACCCATCCTGGTATTGGGTCTTTCCACGTGGAGAGGATGATCGAAGGTCTCACAATACTCACAGGGACTCTACCTTTTAGATTATCTAGCATCACCTCGGTCAGTGCTTTGGAGAAAGTATAAGTGTTAGGCCACTTCTTCGCCACTTCAAGAGGTATCGTCTTCAAGAAGTCATCCTTATTCTGATTGAAATCCATGGATCCGTTGATTGTTGGGATTACGGGGATACATTCGTCCACGGTCACTTTATGACAAGTCGAATACAGCGTCGACACATGAAGCAATACCTATAATAATATCAATAATTAATGCACGTGTTGTGAAAATCGTTGTGTTCTTTCGATAATTTGTGTTGAATATGTGATGATGCGAGAAACTCTTCAATGTTGATTCCTTCTTCAGAGTAGAAAGTTAAAATTTTTTCGGGATGATACTGGCGATTAGAGAAATTTTTTTAGAGAAAAATGATATAAACAGTAATTCATGAAAAATCTAACTTCAATTTCGATCATTTCCTGGCAGAGCTGCAGAAGCCGACGAGTACCGAAAACATTGCTCTCTACTGCCTCCTCCAGGGTCATATCGAATCGGACACTTGCAGCACAGTGGAAGACGATAGAAATATTACGAATCAGCTTTTCTTTATCTTCATCGGAGATGCCAAGGCTAGGCAGAGATAAATCTCCTTCGATCAACCCGATTTTCGAGAACACCTCAGAATCATAGCAGCGTAATTTATCAAACACCTATTTTAAGAATTAGCACATGTATTTGTAATTAATTACATTAACATTTTCATACTCGAACGAATTTAACAGATAATTTTTTCCATTTGAATGTAGGCTAATCGGAGAATTTCTTTTCATTTTTCAGATATGATATCCAAGAATTTGTCGTGGTGATTGTCTGGATTTTTTTTCCCGTGTGCGATTAAAAAAATTACTATTCCACGTTTTTAGTAGTACATATTAATTGGTAAAAAAGTAATTACTGGAGAATCGAGTAGATCGGATAATCTTTGAGCTGACGTTTTTCCCTTCTTGGGCCGAACCAGTAGATAGATGCATCCAATTTTCGGGCAACATCGCAGTAATTTTTCTAGCAGAAGTTTGCCAATACCACCTGTACCTCCAGTGATGAATATCTTCTTGTCTTCATAAAACCCCACAACGGACAATTTTTGTGCACTCATATTAAATCTCCTTTGATAAACTAATCGATGAATTGTGACATTTAATTCGACAAATTCGCGAATTTTTCGTTGTGCACCATTGCTAATAGCTTATTATTCAATAATAAAAAAACAGTTAACTTGACACCAAACGAATGACGAATAAATGGTTTCCTTGTGACGTAATGAACATATGCCCAATGAGGATAGTGTTATCAATAACGGCTCTACTGCCCTGGAAATAACTCAAACTAATGTTTTTCGCATGCAAATTCTTATTTCTTTCTTGGTGACGTCAATTTTACCACCGTTAAACATAATGACAACGTAATAATAAACTTTGATGTTCCATTTACGATTTGAAAAAATATTTCATTACAAATAATTCGAAAAAATACGACTATTTAGTTATAATTGAATTTTTGTCACTGAGGTCCGAGAAGTGGCTCTTACGGGGCTACTTTCAGATCAATAAATAGCAATTATCGGACAAAATTACTTATCGGCCCGTGCCTCTCTTTTCGGCTCACTTATCGGCCTGAGCCTCTGTCTTCTGCTCCTTATCGGCCTGTTTTTAAAACGATATGGCTGCGTGATGGGCCAGTATTGTCAATTACATATGAGGAGCGTTGAGTGACACTGACGACTCACCATAACTCCTGTGTCCCAGATGAGAGTTTGTGTTTTATTTCGAGAAAAAATCAAAGGGAGGAAGAAAGTGAAAAATGTGTGATATTATAATTACGAGCAGTGATGAAGACGCTAGTGGTGAAGAGATTGGGGCACAAGTTTTAATGGAAAAACCTTGCTTTGGCTCAAGTATATTCGCTAACGTCGACTCTCTTAGTTATCAAAACATTGATAACCTCAATAATGAGGAAGATGATAATAATGATAATAATGATAATGATAATTATAAATGACGGTGGGGAAATTCCTCAAGATGTTCTGGATTCTGCAGCCGAAGCTGAAGCCGTACTCGTTCCTAAACAGTCTAAACCAGTTTACGACAGAGCGTATAATAATTTCAAAGCTTATTTGAAACAAAAAAGAATGAAAATTATAAATGAGACAGCATTATTGGGGTATTTCAACGTGCTGAAGCGGGACGAACACAAGGCACCCGGGTCTCTCTGAGCAATATACTCAATGTTAAAAAAACTCTCCCTATAAACTTTTCCTCCACTTATCGGCCTAAGGACACAATGTACTATTATTTTATAACATCATATATTTTATATCAATAAACTTTCACACATTCGCGGAGGACCGAGACATTCTAGCATATTATTTCATTCGAGTCCTATTTATGGTCAGAATATATAAATTACGAGGTGCCTTTCGTGTATTGTTTCGTATGTTGCAATCAATTAAATTGGAAATTAGCGGCAATTTAATAGATTCCCATGAATATTTGTTCATTCAAAAAAATGAGTACATTACACTCGTTCGTATTTTTATCACAAGTTCCGAACATCATACAAAATACATTCCATAGCGAGTACAAGGGCTTATTCGTGGAATTATCTCATAATTACTACCGATTCTTCGAGGCCGACTTTCGCTTTGTCAGTGATCATGACAGAATCACCGAAGAGTCCAAGTCGTTGGAGTTCCGTATTTTTGAATGCATCAGGCGAGATTGCAGTGAGATTGTTCTGGCTCAAATCCAAGTCCTTAGTCTTGAGTCCAGAAAAGTCCTCGGTCCCAACTGTATTTATATTATTCTCAGTCAGATCTATCATATTGGTAACGTGCAAAAGATTGAAAGCTCTTGGTTTCAGTTCAGATATACCATTTTTAGCCAATGTCATCCGGCGAACAGTAAGACCCTTGAATGTATCAGTCAAAATGGTTTTCAATGGACGATTATGAGAGATGATCAAGTCATCAAGGTTCAAAGTACCAAATGCACCTGGTGTTATCGTTTCAATTTCATTCTCGACGAGAGAAATTTCCTTTAGGGATCTCAGCTGTTCGAACACTCCTGCAGGAACTTCTCGAATCTCATTACCATACAATGACAGCTCACGGAGTCTAAAGACAGCATTAAACATTCCGGGCTGGAATACTGTTATATTATTGAAAGCTACTTGAAGTTCATCTAGGTTTGGTACATCTTGAAGGACGAAGGACTGAAATCCGTTATGATCAAAACATCTAGATATGCGGAGTTTCTTCAGCAACGTCAGACCCTTGAATATTCCAGAAACTGCTGGGAAAGCGTTAGTAGATAAACTCAAAACTCTCAATGCTTTAAGTCTCTCAAAAGAACCTGGTTCAACATGAGTTATTTCATTCCAGCTCAGATCCAAATCCTCCAAATGCGTCAACGGTGCAAGATCATGAGCACGAATTGCACTTATTTTATTATTTCTCAGCGACAGTTTAGTAAGTTTTGGGAGAGATTCCAGTATTTTGGTAGGTACTTCGGTGAAATTACCTTTGCTTATTTCCAAATTCGTCAATGATTCAAGTGGACTAAAGGGATTGGCACCGTTGAAGTTGATGTTGGCGTTTTTGATGTCCAGAGTTGTCAGGTTTGGCAAACCAGTGAATGAATCCCGAAATAATGATAGCGAGCTAGCTGAAGATCTGTTCTCTCTGTTAACGTACGGTAAGTGTATGCGAAGTACTTGAAGTTTTGGAGCACTGAAGACATTTTCGCTGATAATCGTGTCATCAGGTAATTGCATGGTAAAATAACTGTTGAATAATGAGTCTTCGGTACTAACACGAGTAATTGTATTAGATTTCTTACATGTTTTGTAGCCCCAATCCGCTTTTTGACAGGTTTCATCTTCAGCGATCACTGCTGATATGAAGAAAACGAAAATTATTTCAATAAGTCGTTTCATCGTGGTGGAAATTGCTGCTTGATAGAACGAGTCTGATCTCCACTGAAGACTTCCGACAACTGAAGAACTCTTGACTCAATTAATGCTGATAAGATTAAATATTCCAATGACATTGTCATGGGGTCAAAGGCATTGATCTCGTTTATGTTATTGATTGAAGAATCTTCGGTTGATGTAAGAAAATGTAGCTGTCAGTTTTGAAAGTCGCGAGATCTTCTGGCTTTTATCTAATACCGCGTGCGTCGGAGTTTGATCAAGAAATAAATGGTGAAGAATGAGGCGATGGGAATGAATGATTGCAGGATGTTCTCCACGCAATAGAACCTGTAAAGGTGAACAAAAGATTATTTCTAGGATCAGAAGATGGGAAAGGTAAAAAAAACAGCTGTTGGGACAAATACTTCTGCATCTTTGCTATCGCTTCGTCTAAATTATCCAAGTCTTCTTTCAACAGATGCTTTCTTATCCCCAGTATATGATCTTTGAGCCAAGACTTGCAATTGATTTTCTTCACATCGAACTCGAAAATCTTTCGACCTTTTTCACTAAGTTCTCCATTAAGAATTTCCACGTTACGTTCGAAGACTGTCGACGATATTTTGTTTTATGAGCCAAACATATTAATAAATTGACAACCATGTCGGAGGGCCGATTATTTACCATTAGCAACAACAGATCTGCAATAGAATCCTTCAAGATAGATGCATCCAATTGTCGGGCAACATCTCAGTAGTTTTTCTAGCAGAAGTTTGCCATCCCCACATCTAGTGATGAATATTGATTTGCCTTCATAGAATTCCACCACGGATAATTTTTGTGCATTCATATTAAATAAATCCTCTCGTTCGAAAAACTAATTAATGAACTGTGACGTTTAATGCGATAAATTTATGAATTTTTACTTGTGTATCATTTATAATAGATAACAACATCAGAATAAAAGGCAATAGTTTACTGGACAACGAACGATGATGAATAAATGGTTTCTTTGTGAAGTAGAAAACATATAGGTCTCTCGAGGATAGTGTTAACAATAAGTACTGTAGGGCACTGAAAATGTATCAAATTAATGTTTTTCGCATGCAAATTTATTTCTTTGTTGGAGACGTTAGACCGTTAAAAATAAAAGGTTTGATAAACTTTGAGGTTTCATTAACGCTTTTGAACAATGTTTTAAAATATAAATAATAGCAATTAATATGTCGAATGATAGTATTGACTATTCTGTTCTATATACTTTACTTTCAACAAATTTTATTACCAATAATTTGAATGATTCAATTTATTTTATAACACAATTTATTTTACATCATAAAATTTCCACTGATTCCGGAAGACCCCAATCCCCTCTCCTCAGATTTTCTACAAACTCATCATCTATTCTAATTACTTGTACTTTGGTATTTTTGAATGCATCTGGCATGATTTCGGAAATGTTATTGAAGCTCAGATATAACATTCCAGTCTGAAGTCCAGAGAAGTCCTCAACTCCGATTTTCGTCAGTTGATTATGTCCTAAATCCAAAGCCCCAGCATTCAATCCCTTGAAAGCTTGAGGCTTGATCTCCGTGATGTTACAAGAATCAAGACTCAAAAATCCGACACTCAAGCCACTGAATGTTCCAGTAGCAACGACTCCGAGGGCTTTGTTGGATGTTAAATCTAGTGTTTGAAGGTCCAAACCGTCGAATGCACCAGTTTCTACAGTCGTAATATTATTATCGACTAGAGAGAGATGCTTCAATGACTTGAGCTTATTAAACACACCCTTCGGGATGTGATGCAGCTTATTGCGGTTGACTCTGAGGGTCCGAATATCCGAGAGATCATCAAACATCCCAGGACCTAGTGTCTCCAGGTCGCCATTTGCTAATTCCAAACGAGTGAGGGCTGGCATTCCACGAAATGTATTAGGCAGTGTCATATTACTCTCAGTAATTCCATACATGAAAAGAACCTTCAGCTGTTTCAATCCATCGAATGCACCTGGTAGGAGATCAAAAGAATTGTGAGACAAATCCAGGACTAGCAGTTCATCGAGACCAGTGAAACATCCTGATTCAAGATTCATTCGTCCATTTCTCTCTAACGTGAGAGCTGTCAAGTTCTTTAACCTAGCAAAACTATTTCGATGAACTGTTTTTATTCCATTTCCAGCGAGTTCCAGCTCCTTGAGGTTTGGTAATGATGACAAGATTTCAGTTGGTATTTTAGTAAATCCACAGCTTATGCATCTCAGATTTTGGAGATTCTTTAGTTGGATCCAAGGGTTTCCGGTGTAAGAGATGTTCGCGTCAAGGATTCGCAGAGTATTCAAGTTTTCTAAACCCACGAAAGCATCTGCGTGGAGTGACAATAGGTTTGGAGAACTGGTCTCAGGTAGAATCAACCAGAGTTCCGTGATATTGGAGTTCTTGAAGACATTTGAAGAGATTGTGGTATTATTCTCCAGATGCAGAGTACAGAATTCTAGGCCCTTGGTGTTATTGATGTGCGTGATAACGTTGGACTTCTCACAAATTTTGAATCCATGCTCGTTAATTTCACAAAATTCATCAGCTCCGAATACCAACAGTGCAACACAGGTGAGATTAATTCCGATAATTATTTTCATCTCCGTACGTTTGACTTCTCACGATCCAGGGACGAGAACTGCGGGAGATTGTTTCGATCGTTGTAATTTAACGAGACGTGATTTTTTCCTCCGCTGTTTACAAATGGGGATAATTTATACCATTCTGTGAATCTCGTTGATGATCCTGTGACAAACGTCTATTCTCTCCATCAAAATAGAATTAACAGGAAAATTCAGACGACAATTGAGCGGTAAATAATTCATATAATGGATCTATGCTGTTTCCTTATTCTGTACGTGTGTAAAAAACTTGTTGATTGAAAAAAAAATTCATATTTATACAATGGAATGGATAAATAGTTCATTTGTAATGTTGATTGTAATTTAATCTCGCGGATGGATCTGATGATTGGCGAATGTGAATTCAAGTTAGTGAATATCTTGCGTTGGGATTCATTATTTTATTTATTTCTTAGAAAGTTGATAGAGTGGTGAATTAAATTGGAGGAATATTTATAAAAAATGTTAAGTTCGCTGGAATTAAATAAATTGATTGAATAGGTATGTTGGAATATGTTAAGTGGTGAAGGTTAAAACTTATTTTAGAAAATTTCAGTGGGTAGATTAAATAGTATATTTAAGTTAGGAATTTCTTGAAATTTCAGTCACAATGTTATCTGAATATTCAATTCTGTGGGTTTCAATTCAATTCCAATCGAAAACGCTAACTAAATTTCTCATTTATCTTAGAAATTCAAGGGAATCGGGTTTTTTATATTAAATTGTAATGGATTTTCCAAGGAAATCTTCAATTTCCAAAAGATTGAAAATTGCTGGAATGTTTAAAATAATCGACTGACTCGTTAACGAAGAATTCAACAAAAATATCACGTCTCTTAGGTGTTGTTAAAAATATCAATCGCAAAGATAAAGAGTCGATATTTATTTCTACTTGATCCATAAACATTCGAGATTAAAAATTTGGTATTCGATTATTTAGGTTTTTCAAATTTTTTAATGTTTCATTAATACAATACCATATACAACCTCGAGAAGTCACGAATCGATTATAATATATTCATTTCTCATTTATGTCGCAGGCTTTTCCGTCTGCCGGGCGAAATATTTAGGAATAACAAAAAGAAAAGAATAGCGAAATGGAAATGAGAATAATAGGAAATCTATTTGGAAGTGAATTCCGAATTTATTAACCATAATTATTATATTTATTTATTGTACACAAAATTGGGCCGAGGAAACTTAAATGATTGGAAATTCAATAAATTAAATACATATCGTTAACATTCTAAATATAATGCCTTCTGATTTCAATATTTCCAATATTCATTTAGTAAAACAGTTTCCGTAATAAATCAATTAAATGGAAACAGGGATTCCCTGAATGGGATATTTCTAGATGGAATCATTCGGAAAAATGTAAAACTACCACTGAGGAAAAGTCCAACCTTAACCCTTCATAAAAATCATTTAGATCTTTAATTAAATTTGGAAACGTAATTAAATACGATGGATTCCAAGTCAATTTCTTCCAATTGGATCTTAATTCTTGAATTCATTATGTTAATTCAATTCAATTCATTATTGGATAACATTCCTGTTGAACTCGTTACCTAATTAATCCAGAAATCATTCATCAATCAATCAATCTCTGTATAATTAATTCGGAAATATTATGTATTTATTATGACACAAATATTTGACACATGAAAAATAAAAATACTGAAATAAGAGAATGAATGTCATTGAATTTATTTTTGGGAGATGGACAAATTTAATCATTAAATTTGGTGATTTTTATAGAAAACATTCTAAAAATCGTTATAAATTTCCCATATTTTCATTGATTTTTCTTATATTCAGTTGAAGACGATTACATTGCGGTCTGCAAAAGATCAAAATCAATCTAATCCACTTCAAGATTAGTCAGTGTTTTGATGGAATCATATATTTTGGGAATAGTGCTATTGTCGATTTTGCCCCTCAACCTGAGGGTGTCTAATTTTTTCAATCCATCGAAAATCCCAGGAGCTAAGGTAAACGAATTAGCTGCAATCGTCAGTTCTTCCAATTGATCAAGTCCATTTAGCCATCCAGGTTCCAGAGTGATAGGCTTTTCCCTGGTTAAAGTTAGAACAGTCAAATTCTTCAAAGATGCAAATGCATTTTCATGGATGACATCTATCCGATGATCTTCTAAATAGAGTTCCTCTAATTTGGGAAACGATTCTAGTATTTCAGTAGGCACTTCGGTGAATCCACAGTTCTTGCATCTCAGAATAGCTAGGTCTCCCAGATCTTCCCAAGGATTGCCATCAAAAACGATATTTGCATTTTGAATATCAAGATTTGTTGTGTATCCAACACCACGGAACGATCCTGACTCCAGAAACAGAGTGTGTGGAGCCCCTTCTTCAGGAAGAATCAGTTGAAGCTGCCAGTTGTTGACATTCTTGAATGCATTCCTCTGGATTGTTGAACTGCCATTCAGATCTAGAGTGAGATTGTTATCATCAGCTGGATGAAAGACTCGTGTGATGAGTCCGGCATCTTCACAAACTACAACTTTACTCTTGTTGAGCTTGCAATTCCTCCGATCTCCGAGCACCGATAGCACCAGTGACACAAGACTGATTGCAATTATAATCTTCATTGTCTAAATTTCAACGCATTCCATTAGAGTGTTAATAGAACTGATGAGACCTCTCCCGAATGCAACTATTTATCGGAGCGAGTTTTCCTCAATATTAGAATATATCGGGGTGGGAGTTAACAGCTAAATTCGTCAAGTAAACTCATCAAATTTTTCCTGTTATTCTCCCACAGACGAGAGTTGACAAGTCCTGGAAAGACTTGATGATTCAATAATTTTTTCTGTAGTTAATGTCGATCAGGCAATAAATCGTAGATATCATCGAGCTGTTTGACCTCTCTTACATCATTCATCATGATAAACATAACGATATTATTCTCTGGTAGTAATGAGGAAAAAAAGAGGAAATCGTGTATCATATTCGACTACCTAAAGACAATAAGGAAAGTTGATAGAGGGTAATGATAACGAATTCATTCTGGGAAACTATCTCAACTGCTTGAAGTCAATAAATATGCATTAGCATTGCCACAGAATTTAATTTGTTAATTAAAAATTTAGCAAAACAATCGTTGATAATATTATGACATCTTGATTATTTAATGGACACAATATTCATTTTTATTATAACTGATTATCTGCTATAAGTACTCATGGATTTCTGCTCATTTATTTTTTAACAGAATATCCGAGCGCTTGTAACTCTTGACTCATTGAATTGACATCTTCTGGAGTGAGTCGATGATTTGGCGGACGAGTGGGCCCTGGATTTATTGGAGTTATCAGAGACATCGCACATTTTAAAGCCGCAGACCAATTACCTGTAAAAATAGATTTTATTATTAACTCAATTGAATTGTCTATCTTCTAAAAAAAAAGAATATAACTTCTTTTGTCAGCGATTGATTACCTCATAAATAAGTTAGGAGTAATTCCCTCTTAAACAAAATTACCGTTTATTTTTCTTTATATAATACAAATATAGTTTCGCTATATTTTTTAATTTTTATATATATATTTTTAGAAATTACCATATTTAGAAATAATAGATAGGGCTTTGTTCAGTTTTTCTTGTGCCTCTCTAGCTTTTAATCCGTCACCTCTCATTCCAGCGTCTACGATCTGTTGAACATTTTCTGGAAAGACGTTTGTGCTGGATGGAATGCAGGAATCCATTCCGATGGCACAACCAGCTGATAGAATCTGAATATAATGCCTATTACAATCCCCAAATTATTGATATCATAATATATTTCCCTCATACAAGTAAAAAAACGGTAAATTCCTCTGGACAATTGCATGTAGTTTTAAATTGAGATTAATGATGATCATTGATTATTAATGATTATTAATTCATGATTATTAATTTTATTTTCTGTTTGTTTAAAAATCATTTCATTTTGAAGATGAATTCAAAATTTCAAGATCTCAGGGAAGTCTTTACAATTTTTTCATACAAGGGACTATATTTTTTTCCATTTCCATTTTAATGGAAGATCATAATGAAATTTGATATCGAATATTGATTCACAGTTGTTAATTGATCTTTCATTAACTTTCAATGATATTTCTTACTTCATTGCTCCCTTGAAAGACAACAAATCGTTTAGAATCTGCACGCAGTGCCTGAGATCCCTCTTCAAGATTCGTACTTGTGAACTTGATACCCACAAATGATGGAATCTCATTTCTAATTGTTTCCAGGAATTTCCCCATGTGAACTGCAAATAATCATAATTCCGTAATCATCATTAAACATTCTCTCAAGCCATAAATTCATCAAAAATCAACGGTCGCACAATTGTTATGCCCCAGATTTTGGTTAATTGGGTTATTGTTAAATATTTGGACATCCAGCATTGTCAGCGTGACACTTGCCAGGATAACTGGATTATGCTGACCAAGTAATGACACACAAACAATTATGTATTTAAGAGGCCGTTTGGGTAGGCAGAAGGTAGATCCAAATCGGACTGCGACATGTGTTAGTCGTAATATTTGTAATCAGTCAGATGACATAATTAAAGTAATAAACTCTCATATTGAAATACCTATAAACTATTGGTGGGATTTATCCCTTCGAGCCTAGAACCTACAATAAATACAAGTACCTCCCACGCAGGGTACAACACAATGGAATCCATCAATTACTATCAATAATAAGATTATAACAGAAGTAATTTCTAGTTCTATAAACTGTCATTTTTGCAATTACATTTTAGCAACAGCTACAAAAAAGTTCCCTATTAAAATTGTTTATTTCATTTTCATCAAAGCAGCAATTCGAGTTATCGCCATCCAAAGTAGTTGCATCTTTTGGCAATTCAATGTGTAGATAATCATTAATTAATAAAAATTTAATGAATCTAACAATTGGATAGAACATTTTCTACTTACGGTTGACATTCGACCGCACTGGAAAATGATAATAGAGCAGTGGAGTTTTGGGTGCAGCTTCTCCAATGATTTTCAAGTAATCAATTAGCTCATTGACATTCGCAGGTTTGAAGTACAGCTCTGGCAAGCAAAGTATCGAATCCGCTTTGTTTTTTGCCGCATGTTTGGCCTGGAAAAAATGTTTACGAAAATATTGAATAATTTCTTGATGTCTTCATGAATGATGTGTACCAGTTCAATGACGTCTGGAAGAGGTGCTCCTCCGACTTGGATCATTAAATGTTGATTCGTCTCCTTAACAGTATTTGCCCATGATTCTGCCACATGTTTGCGTTCATCGACTGACATCGACATTCCTTCTCCAGTGGTGCCATTTACTTGATTACGGTTCAGTAATTAATTCATTCATTCATTAACCAGTAGAAAAATGGGTAAAGGAAACAAGTTCACTCCGCAATTCTGTATCTCTTTGAAAATATCTTCGAAACTAACGGGGATACCGAAATTTTTGTTGCACCTTTTTTATAGCTCTTAATTAGCTCTATAAAAAAGGTTCTAACAAAAATTTCATTGTCTATCTTAGTTTCCGAAATATTTATGAAAAACGGAACTAAAGTGAGTTGTAGGGAATTTAGTCCTCTTTTACGAGTGAGCTACAAATATTATTTTATATTTAATCCCTGATATTTATTTGTTAATGTTTTTAATTATATATCTGTCTTCATAAGGCATTTCTAATTTTCTATTTTTTGTATTTTAATTGATTCCTTCGTATGGAATTCACACGATTTGGAATTAGATTTGGAGATAATAATTCCTTCGTTCTGAGTAATGGAAATTGTAATTGGTTTTTGAAAATTGATTTAGTACATTTTCCACTCACCTAGAACTCCGTTGACACCATTGTCAGCCAAGTACTTGGCGTAGGTCGGTATTATCGGTAAATTCAGCGTCAACCTACATCCAGAGTTTATGTAACAATCGAATTACTCGGTTTCTACCAAAGTGAAATCAATGATGTAATGGTGTTTTTACCGTTCAGTGAATGGCGCTAGTACTGGTACAATTAAACCTCTGAAGGTGTACGACAGCTTCTGCAACGTTATCACATTCCAATGACGATAGAATCATCATACGAAGGAAATAATGAGGAGATAAAATTCCGAACATAAATTTTACTGATTCTTCGTTGAAGTTTCCGTGTCAAATGGAGTCATTTAATTACATTAAATATTAATTTTTTAATTAATTTTTCCATTCATCGAATCAAAAAATCGTTATCTTGATTGCGAATATATATAATAATTGTTATAGTCATAATTGTTGTGTTAATTAGCTTAACGGAAATTCTGTAATTTTTACTGATATATCTTTCTCAGTACTTGAAAAAATAATTACTTTTGTCATGCAAATTTAATAACTACACGGAAATGCACATATTTCAATGGAAATATTCAAGTTATATTCAAATATTTATTTGTGGCGGGTAAATCCAATCAGCAGAAATTATTTTTTTTCTCTTAGTGCGTAAAGGAAAATAAAGATAATTATGGAGGACTCACCGACATATTTGTCATGTAATTCACACCGCAATCATTCAGATACTGAGTTAAATTGAGACGACTGGTAAATGTAATCTGCGAGAGACCGGAATATTCCAACACACAGATATCAATTTCTTTCTCACTGATTCTCAATTCAATTTCCGACGATTAAGGAAAGATGGATAAAAAAATTGTTACTTCCTTAAATAACTACACAACTAACTACTACAAAACAAAAGTTTTCTATCTGAATTTTTCTACTGTCAGGATAAATTACGGTTAGGTCGATAAATATTTTGTAAGAGGATAAAATTGAATTCGCTTGGCGAATTTCCGTCGAATTTTTACGTCGAATTCCGGAAAGAGTGGTTCAGAATTAAGTTTGAGTATTTGCATTGGATGCTCTAGATCGTAAAAGATTTGGAATATTTTTGAACTTAGCGTCTACGTTAAGTATGTAGACGTTAAAATGCTGGTTTATTTATTTATTCAATTTTATATTTATTCATCATTATAATTGATGTAAACTGATGAATGTTACATATCACTTATTGTCTGTTTGGAAAATGGCAGTCATTTTGTATTCTACAATCTAGTAGATTGTTATTTCTTTAATTATTATAAATGCATAAGTAAAGGCTGAATGTTAAAATCAATTTTTCGTTGTATATTAACGGATAAAGTCAGTGTTAATCAATTTATTATTTCCTTTATCAGATAAGTTGTGTTATCAGACTGTTAACATTATTTCGTTATCAATTCCGAATGGAATAGCCTAGTAGTTGGAGTTCTTTTTTCATGAGATTGATTGCTTCTGGAGATAGTATTTGAACTGGAGGACGCACTGGACCAGGATTTATTGGTGTCAAAAGGGCCATTGCAGTCTTCATGGTGACAACCCAATTACCTAAGGAATTACATACATTACAAATTGACAAATTCCATTTTGACTTGTACCGAGAAAATGGCTGGAATAAAAACATTCATAAATGTCAAACATTCAATTTTTCTTCAAGGCTCGGGTGGATTATCTAGAAAAGATAATTTACTCCGAAATTCGGATTCCTAATTACTTTGGCAATTAATCGTTTTTTTCAATAATTGTTAGCTAGCGCTCTAGCGGTTGTCAACAACTAGGCCGCTAGCTAACAATTATCGGAAAAAACGATTAATCGACGGAGTAATTAGAAGTCCCAATTTTGGAGTAAATTATCTTTTCCGGACAGTCCATCCGGGCCTTAAATTTGAAATGATAAAATGTTCAATTTCGCTGTACATCGCGTTTAAAAGAGATTTTTTTTATTTATGGTAAAAAATTATTATATATTGATTTTTTCTTATTCAACCAGTTATTACTAAAGTGGAAATATTGCAATTTTAATACATTAATAGATAAAAAGTATATACAATGTACATTTTTTGTACATTATGTATAAACTGGAGAAATATAGAAATATAGAATTGACAAATTATTATATATTTTTCTGTGTGGAGACTAGTGTTTTTATTTGATTCGCAATTACTTAATTGAGGTGGAAAAGTTGGCGACTTTAATAAATAAATTACCATGTTTAGAAATTGTGATGATTGTTTGGTTTAATTTGTGTTGTAGTTCTCTGGCTTTCAGTCCATCACCAGCGACTCCAGCTGTCCGAATTTCTAAGGCTTGTCCAGGAAATATATTGACACTTGTTGGGATGAAGGAATCAATTCCGACAGTACATCCAGCAGAAATAATCTGGAACAGCGAATTAAATTTTCGTATTGTTATTTAATATAAATTCATTAAATTGTCTAGAAATCTTTCGAGTTGCCAATTCTGATAGTCCCCATTCAGTAGAAAATTAAAAAAATAATGATATTTTATTATTTTACAGACAAAATCATTTTTCGACGATTGACCTAGTTAATTCGCAATTATAAATTGTAAATATGGTATTTATTTACTAAAGTTTTACGTAGACTCACCTGATCACTGCCCAAAAAAATAACGAATTTCCCTCCATCAGCATGTAGTGCCTGACTGCCCTCTGCGAGATTTGTACTCGTGAATTTAATGCCAACGAATGAAGGAATTCGATTTCCGATCGATTCCAAAAATTTTCCCATGTCAACTGTCAACAGGAAAAAAATATTAATTTCAATATTTGCGTGTACTATAAACTATGACAGGGTAAAATAATAATTAATGAGTTACGTTTTGCATTCCAATAATTTCTGTTATATGGAGATATTAAATCATTTTGGTTACTGGAGGCTCGAACTTGCGCTACACGGAGAGAAAAATGCCGGAAAAATTACGGAACTTTCAAGTATTCGTGGGGTGACGTTGCTTTTCAGGAAAAAGTACCGGAGGTACCGTAAAATTATCCTGAAAGTTTCGTAAAAATTCCTGCTCGCTACAAAAATTTTCACGGGACTTACAGTATTTTTCCCCGAAAACCAAGGTCACCCCACGAATACGTGAAAGTTCCGTAATTTTTCCGGTATTTTTCTTTCTGTGTACACTGGGACGCTTTATTCACAAGACCAGGGCCCTGATCATTAGACCAAAGACGAGGCCCTGATCAAGCTTTATATTTTTTTAGTCATTAATTTTGTTTGATATTCGTATTGTTTTTAAAAAACTTGTAAAAATGAAAAATTAAGAAATATTCAGTACATATATACCAATGGTATATAATGCAAATCAGATTTTAAAAAACGTCAAAGTGGATTTTTTGAAGGGGATACGGTTGAGATATTATATATAATAATCTTTGATGTTTCACTTACTGTTCACATTCGAAAACATTGGAATATGATAATAGAGTAACGGCGTCTTCGGCGCAGCATCACCCACGATTTTCAGGTAATTAATCAACTCTTCTGCATTGGATGGCTTGAAGTACAATTCAGGTAAGCAGAGTATTGCGTCTGCCTTGATTTGCTCTGCATGCTTAGCCTGGCAATACAATGAACCGTGCAGCAATTATTGTACTCTTCATGTATTGCATGGAGTAAAGAGTAAATATAAATTACGTTTGAGAAATTAGTTGTTCATTTACTCCGATTTATTTATTATCTTTATTTTATTTGTCGATTACTCTACGCTCCCCAAAGATTTTAACAGAACAGATTTTACGGTTGAAACTTCAATTGAAACAAAAATTACGATTACATCAATGTAGTTCACATTGTCGAGTTGTCGTTACGGTTACATTTTATGTAATTACAATAAATTTAGATAATAATCATAATTAAAGTATAAACGATGGTGATAATTACCTTTGATTACGATTTCGTAAAGGTAATGAAGTGGTTAAAAAAGAATTCGTCAATTCGCTGACAGTTATCATCTTGTTAGGGTAATTTACCGTACACCGTGTGTGCAGATAATGATTATGACATGTTCAATTGGATTTTTAATTGATTACGTACAAGTTCAATGACATCCGGAAGGGGGGCACCTCCCACTTGAATCATAAGATGTTGTTTTGACTGTTTTACTGCGTTCGCCCAGGATTCAGCTACTTTTTTTCGCTCTTCCACAGACATCGACATGCCTTCCCCGCTCGTACCATTGACTTGTATAATCATAAAATAATTAATTAAAAACAATGCAATAAAATCTAACGTGTGGGTTTGAAAAAAAAATTTTTGGAAGACCCAGAAAAATTGTTGACAATATTTAAAAAAGAAAAACAAATTCTGGAATTGATCATTGTTTTTGTTTTTCAAGGAAATAATGTAAAAAATGAGAATTGAACTAAATATTATATTTTTTCTCATTCGATGCCAGGAAATCAAGAATTTTTTTGATAATATATAGAATTTTTGAATATATCATTTTGTTCAATATATTTTATGAAAAAGAAATAGTGGAACGAATATTAATACACAATTCTATTAAACTTAATTCAACTAAAATAATTAAAGTCAGCAAATCAACTAATTTTATTATTTCAATTTCATCTAAATTGAATATGTGAAATATAAATATAAATTTTTCCTGAATGAGTCGAATTGATTTCCAATTTAAATGCAATCAAACTCAAGAATAAATTGTTATTTATCTTATCGTTCTTGGAGTATGAATGACGACTTCTTTCGGGGATTTTCTAGTTCATTTTGTGATGTATCTAATGAAGATTATTCAATAGCGTTATTGATTAATCCCTTACCTAAAATTCCTTTGATTCCGCTGTCGGCTAGAAACTTTGCATACTGCGGTATTACCGATAAATTTAAGCCCAATCTGCGCATTGTATTCAGGTAATTAGGTAATTAAGAACCTTCCTCGAAAGTCGATAATGATGATATAATATTGCTCTTACCCATCCGTGAACGGCGTCAATACCGGCACAACAAAGCCTCTGAAGGTGTACAACAAGTTCTATAATATTAATGAATCTCCATTACGCTAACTCCATTGAGTAATTGAGTTTCAGTGGAGTGAAAGAGGTAAAAGTGAAGAGAACAGAAAACAAAGTGAATCGAAACAGCGTAAAATTGACATCTACCAAATAAATTTCATTCAATTAAATTGATGTAGTTGATGTAAGGTAATTAATTAATTTGAGTCAATCCATCATTATTCTATTTTTAAGATTAAATTAAAGATTGAAACATGATAAAATTGTTGAACAACGGAAAAACAAAGCTTATTAGACGGAATTATATTTCTACAATTATTGTTATTAATATCTGTAATGTAATTAGAGTAAATAAGAAGATATTGTACCGGCATTTTGAGGAGAGTTGTGTCTATCCGAGCAGTTCTTTGAAGACTGAGCAATTCCACAATATGACAAATATTGATAAGAACATCAAGGCAGATACCAGTCGTATCTCAGAGAAGAAAAAAAACAGATGCTCTCTCATTAATCAATCAAATAATTTCTTGCTACAACTGAAAGCAGTAATTCATACGATAATTTATAATGAAAGGAATTCTTCGGTTATTTATGCCAATTTCTATGAATTTAATAATTTATATAACATTGAATAAGGGAAAGAGGAGAATAATTGAATAGTACTCGTAATTTATAAAAATGCTCTTTATGTTTATTTACATGTAGATCCTTCAACAATGTCAATATTACCATAATAATTAATAGTAATTTATGCATATATTTATATTTATATAATATATGTAATCTAAATGGCCGCATGCTTTGGGTCACGTGTTCCTCAAAAAAGAACAGAGAACTACGTAATTTAAATAACGCCAAAAAGTTTCTATCCTATTCATGATAAATGATGTTTTTTTTTTCATCAATTAAATTCTGACCTACACAATTCAACTGCGATTATTTGACGCATCTACGAAGGATGTCTTCATTCTTCATTATTTATTTATTTAACTTCATTCTCAGTATTATTCTCTTATTCTATTTTATTTAATCAAATCACATGAAATGGCGAGCCTAAAAATTCACCCTCTTACGATCGGATTTCGCGACACTTTAAACCTTTTTACTCTTAATTAACCATGAAAATGCATATTTGTTAATTGTTAATCAATTCATTGATGTTTCATTTTACCACAATTCTGCAATTCGATTTGATCGTACGAATAGAACATGAAGAACCGACGTCTCGAGAGTTTTAGGTAATTATTAATAACAAATAAATACGATTATAAAAAGAAAATGTAATGAAAGTACAAAACAAAGTGACAATGACTAGACTTTGAAAAAACCAGTTGTAATACCTTGGTGAAAACATTCAAGCAATGAAAATGGAAATTGTAAAAATAACCGGGACTCTTCGTTGCTTTATACGTCAGGAAAACTGTGTAATAACAGCAGTCAGCTCTTTCTTCCTTTGATGCTACTCGTGAAAAACAAAAGTCCAAACGAATCGCGACATTTTATGTACAGATGAAAGAATGCGCGTGAAAAAAGGTCACAAATAGAACGTGTGAAAATAAAATTCACTGTACGAGTACAAGCATTTATTTGTTTTTGGTTTTTTTTTGTTTCAGAAAGCGTTAGCGTACAAAGCAGTTGTCAACAGTAGACAGAGATGTGAAACCAGATGATCCCCACGTGGGATTTTTCCCTGGGAAACTAGCGATTCATCGACAGTTGTCTAAAACCTATATATTTTCTCACATTGTCAATTGATTTTCTAGGATAAAACGTCTGATTAACATTTTAAAAATATTAATCTCCAAATTTTATAAAATTTTGACAGATCTTTAGTTTCTGCGGAGTTAATTGTCAAATGGGCCGTCTGATACTACACCGCGAGAAACTTTTTGGCTTTTGTCAATATCAATCTTGTGAAAAAACAATTAAAATGATTTCCAGTCACTTTTGTATTCGTGATTTCAACTATTTGAGTTTTGACTCTTTCTCGGAGGATCGTATACAGTGGATCCTCCGGATATGTACACGGGGATATACACATATTTTTCAACAGTTTAAGTTTTTTATCCGAGGAAATACTCGGGTCAATGATGCTGACAAATAATTGATCATTCAATTTTTTACTCTCGTCTGCGTGAATATTCCAATAATAACTTAATACTGCTCGTGGTAACCTCAAGAAGTCGGTTAATCTCATGATAATGGTCCCAAAATGTTAAAAGGTAGTCGTTAAGTATAATTTCATATTTCGCAGCATTAGAAGCATTATTCTTTCTCTAGGTATTACAATCTTGATTTTTTTCTATGCTGATTTTATTTTATTGATTTCATCATAGGTCTCTTTACACTGTAACGTTGCTAGGAATTCAAAAACGACTAGTCAATAAGAATATATTTCAGCTGTCAAGTGAAACAATTTGAGTCGATTGGTAGATATTAAATGCAATTATGTATTCGTCTCGTTAATGGATCATCACAGAGCCTCTCAGGCCCTTTTTTAAACAAACAAAACGATTACATAATCACAATTTCAAACTGTTGTACATCGGCTGAAAGCATTTCACCGTCGACATAACTGATTTGATCGATGCCTTGCCTCGACGCGGGGATTATTATTCAGATTATCTTTTCATTTTAATAGATTCTTCAAATCTAATAGTTTTACAGTGAATAGAAAAATCACGAGAGACTGTGATAAATTTCTCTTTCTTACTTTAGAAACATTTTTCTCATTTTAGGTGGAAGTGATGAACTCAAAATTGACAATTGAACATTTTTTCTTCTCAAGGTGATGACGATACATTGAACTATTAGTAATCCTAGTGCGATATTAGGTAGATATGAATTTGATGAATAGTTTAGCAATGTATGATATTTGTATTCTCTGCAATGTTTGTGTTTCATTCGAAATGTATTTTATTCCTCTTCTATATCGAGTTTAGACAATTGTTTCTCTTGGTCTCTTCAAATGATATTTTTGTTCAATTTCATTACATTCGATCGACCTCTGACGAGAACTCGAAGGATAATCGAGAAAAATAAATGCTTGGAAAATGTTTATTCATGTGTGAGAGGTGGAAATGTGTTCCGTGTTTGAACTCATTCGTTAGTAATTAATGGAGCTGACACCAAGATGATTAATTCATTTGAACGTTTGATTTGGATGATACGACAAAAAAAAACACAATTTATAGAAACATCGAACAGAATCGAGTAAATCATCATAAATAGCGTGAACTGAGGAGAAATGAAAAAAGAGACGCAACGAGAGATTGACGTGAAATATTTGTTAATCATTGACTGCGGGGAAATTGATGGTGACACGATTGATCCATTACTAATCATTTCAATCGATCATCAGAGAATGAACCAAAATAAACGATAATTCATCTGATGAACCCGTATTGGTGTGATTAGACTATTGCATTTGTTATCGGTTATATACCTTTTGGTTCTACATTTCTATCTATATAATCTCTGTATTATTAAAATTAATGGATAGTAAAAATGCGTATTCTGTGAAGTTTATCCTCGACAAAGGTGGAGCAAGAACCATTACAGCTCTAATCATAAAAATTACGATTATATTGTTTTAAGTTGTCGCAGAAGGAGAAAACACATGTGGAATACTCGCATAATTATTTATTCATAATAAAAATAACTGTGTTCAACACGTTCTGACTAATTCGCTGAGGCACACACGAGTGTTTCTACAAAAGAAGTTTAGGCTGTTTCTTGTAGTTGTCTCAACAATTCGTATTAAACACTGAATAAATGCTATTACATTCTCTAATCATTATAAACTTGTAATTGTCTATTGTTAGTTGGCCAACTTTGCCAGGAAAACTTCGTCGCCAGTGTCGATGTACGTTTTTTTTTCATGTAATAACTCACACATTATGTGCTTGCGTTGATTCGGCCGATCATCACATTTAATTTGGTTCATTAAATGATGATTCGATTATTTAAATATATTAATCTGGGTATCATTGGTACATTTAAACAGATAATTAAAAATCCCTCTTGATTTGCCCCCAGTCTTCGTCTAGATATAAATTACTGGTAGAATTTTACTAAAAAATTTTCACTAATGATAGACCTCTCATTGGACTGTCGGTGTAACTTCCTTCGATATCAGTTCCCCTCCAGCGAACTTAACCGTCCTCAGTTGTTATTGACAGTGATTTTATTCGGAATACAGTCAATCGAGCGACGGCACTCGTTTTTTTTTTATTTTATTTGGTGGAAATGTCAATTTTAATTCAATCAAGGTGATGGATCCGATTTTCGTCCCTGCGGAATTTCACAGCGATTCACATGGCCATTGGTGTTTGATTGTCGAATAATCGTGAATTTTTTAATAATTCCAATTGATTTCCGATTCACGGCAATTGATTCTAATTTCGTACCGTAAATAAAACAACCAAATACTGTCGACTCTTTGTACAAGAGATTTTCGTACAGGATACTTCGTCTTTCCGTTCGCTAATTCACTACCTCGACTCCTATCTCACGGCCCTGAATATTTTGGAATTGTGCGCTCCATATAAGATACCACGCAAATGATAAATAAAAAAAGAGAATCATTGGCACTGTAACGATTTCTTCATTCATTATCATAAATTATTAATCATTTAACGATCTATTGTATTTTTGTTTTTTCGTTTATTTTAATTAATTCATAAAGAATTTTCAATGATTTCCCCACGTGAAGTAATTACGCAAACGGAAGAAATATCTTCTCTACTTTTTCTTTTCTGTTAAACAGGACGGAAAATACTACAGACTACAGAGCAGGCTACATTATTAGTTTACTTTTAAGCTGTTGGAGAATTTAAAAGATACATGGTGAATAGGGGAATGGTGATTCTCGGAATTTTATTTACCTCCGGTTGCTTGTGGTATCTTATACGAGTGGACTGTACCGAAAGGAGAATTCTAATGAATTGATCTCAATGCTCTCTATTTTGGAGATATCTGAATAGAAGCAGTAAGACGTGAACAACTGAACAGCAGTAATTCCAAACAAATCGGTATAACCGATAGCCATTGACAGATTTAATCACCAATTACTTCTCCGAGGGGCAAACAACGATGAAAGCGTCGTCGCCCGTGACTGCCACTAAGACTTCCAGGCTCTCAACTTCCTCAATGACACCTTCTTGAGATGTAATGCAGCATTGAGGATGTCCGATTCCCTGGACTCTTCGCCATCCGAGTGTACCTCACGTCTACGTCCCATTAAAAGACGCTGACGTAGGCCCCTTGAGGTCGGATCGGAGAGAGCCTCGGCTACCGGAACTTTCTCCTTACTGGAGCCAGGCAGTGACACCGATCTACCGACTGAAAAGCCTTTACTTATTCTATCAAGAGTAGCAGGTATCAGGTGTTTCCGTGGAATCGCCTGCTCCCGTTCTCTCAATATAAATCTTCCTAGGGTCTTCCACAATGCCTGTGTACTGTACACATTCTCATCGTCACGTAGTACCCGCAACTGACGATTACCACTACCAACGGCGCCTGCGCCGCCCCATTCCAATTCCTCAAGAAGTGCAAATTTCACCGGATCCTCCATTCTTCTTGCTTTGACTAATGCCTGAGCAAGTACATCCTGAGCGGAACTACTAACTGGTACACGTAAAATGGCATATGGTATTTCAGGTGATACATTGTATATGCAAACGAGAAAAGTGTCAGCTTCGTCCCAAATCATTGACTGATCTTCACCACTTTCATTCAATTGTGCATGACCCGCTGTACTTCTGATGGAGGCCAACCAAGCTCTGCTGCTGGGATCATTGCCCACTCGTTTCAGTAGAAATCTACCTTGACCCTTCCACAATGCCTGAGCTTCCAACGGACGCTCCATCAGATCCAAAACACGTTGAGTTGGCAATTCCTCTTTGTCTTTCTTCTCCCAGCCTCGAGAAACCTCCTCCACCAGAATATAATCGTCCACATGCTCTGCAGAAATGCCCGCCTTCTGTAGAGCCTGCAGCATGACTTCCTGCGTGGAGCTTTCTTGCGTTACCCTGACGATAGTGTAAGGCTCATCGGGCATCACATCGTAAACCCTCAGGAAAAACATACGACGCTTCAGCGTCACTCCCCCCAATCCAGGATCCACATTACTCAATTTCTCTGGAGTTTTTCCAGATGGACGTTTGGACTCCTTATTGTGATCTCTGCAGCACGTATTGTAGTCCAAACTCTCCTCCTCCATTCTAGAGTAAATGAACAATGTTGATAATGCTAGGGACTTATTTTTACATGAACGCAGACGTACGTGACGATAACCGGGTTTCAGGCAGTTTAACGGTAATACTCTCTGGGCAATGAGATGATGAGAGTTAGCCTCGACTATACCAAATCGAAGAAAGGCAAGGTCTCTGAACATCACTTGGAAGCAGAACTTTTCATTCCAAATGGGATTGAGGGAGTTGTTCTGAACAATTTTTGTTTTGTGTTTGGCGCAGTCAATGGGTATTCCCACTAACTCAATCTCAACGTAAGTACTGGCTAGGAGATTAGCTGGGGATATGTATTGGCCAGAGATAACTGATAGGGTCAGGTGGACAGAATGAAGGCCATCAAATTCTTTGTCCCATGGGTTAAATCTTCTATACATCATGTGACTCTTCTCCCACATCATCGAGGGCTTTCGAACGTAACCGCACTGACCATTTTGCTCGTACATTGCTGCATTCAGATGCAGCGCTGCATCATCCGTTTGATAATTAAGAGCCACCATCTGGATACCAAACGCCCAGAAGATGACGGGATTGAAGTTGGATGAGTCTATTCGCATTCCAGCGGGATAGGTTCTTATTAATTGGGTCTCAGCGTGGGCAACAACACCCAGTGGCTGTTTACGACAAATTTTTTTAGCTGCACTCTCGTTTAATGAGGAGCACTGGAAGCACGCTGGCATGCCACGGTTAGAACGGAATAGTGTGTCGATATTACTACCACCGCTGGCAACAGACGCGGATGTCGACAGGGATTGTGGTGAGCCAGTGGAGGATGCTATTCCACCAGTACCAATCCCAGCGATACTGTGTCTCTGCACGGTGCCTGTGTGGCTTTGGTGGCGTGCTTTTGGTATGGGAAGTGTTCCTGGGGTTGTGTTGAGGCCGCGGAATTTAATGGCTTGGAGGTAGATTACGAGGTCAGAGAGCTCTTTGGCGATTTGACTGCTTTGTTTCTGAGATTTGTCGTCAACTGCTGGATCAGATTTCAAACGGACGTGCACCATTTGGCTACCACCCAGATACCTCTCGTAACTGGAGATTGAGTTGTCTGAAATCATTGTTTCGTTTAGATCAGATTAATAACAATTTAAATTATATTTTAAATCATTACTGAATTGAATTATTTATTTTTGAGTTATTAGTCGGGTGCCCTAACTACTTTGCATTAATGCTGACGACAAACAATCCTCTATTCTAAAACGGACAGACAAGTCGAACTCGTGAACTATCGATATCTCGAAAGACTGCCGGCCTCGTTAGTAATAAACGTGAATTTTACAGCGTCATAAAGATGACAAATGGTGAAAACTTCGATGACTCTTTAAAAAAGCAATTAAATAGCATACAACTGATGCCATTTCATAAATCATAAAAATATATTTTTTAATAGTACATAAATATTTCTATTTATTTTCTTTGGAAATATAGAAACGTTGATCAAAAGTTGAAATTGAGGTAAAACATGAAAATCACATTTTTACGTTCAAAAGACTGCAACCTATGAAAAATTGTCAGAATCACATAACTCACGTATTATAGTGCAGCTTATTTAATAAGCTTTGAAACGATTATGCAATATATTACCTCAGTGCGAAAAGAAGAGAGGAATTATTGGAGAAACCGGAGAAAAAAGAAGCGTTATGAACGGATCATTTATTTATGGAGCCATCGATTAACAATTGGTTCAATACTCCAATTTGTTCCTTTGGGATTTAACGAATACAATTGCATTGAAGCAAAAATGCAGACCGCAAGTTCTCATAACAATAGGTCTAACGGAAGGAATTAATAAATAAAATTACCATCAACGTTGTCATCCTCATCGTCCTCCTCCTCATCATCCTCATCCTCGCTGAAATATTCAACCACCGATGCACTACTAACGTCAGTCCTCATTTGTTTCATGGATGATGCACGATCTGACATCAACATTTTACCCCGGTGACTTATTGACGGATGAACGAGAGGGGCTGTTGGATCGACCACGAGTTTTTTATTTTTTATCAGAATTCTGTGTCGCAGTTGCGAGGGTGACGGCAGCTGCGGGTCCTCACAAAAGTCAGTGTCGTACAGAAATTTTGTAACCAATTTTTCACCGAATACAGACTGAAATATTGAAGAATTATGTCAGTCACTTTTTTCTTTTCGCCAATTTCCGTTTGTAAATAGGGAAAAGGGGAGATTACCTGAAATATCTGAGCCATGCGGGCTTGCTGTGCCTGGGAGCAGTGATTTTCAATGGAGAGAATGACTGGATATGGAGAGCTAACGAATGCACTGCGATCGATTGCTTCCACTACTGATCTGAATGGAATTTTTGTTGTGAATGTGTGACCGTGGTATATGAGGGGTGAACCATCGTCACCGTCCCAACAGTCCAGCTCAACACATCTACATCCGGTGAGAAGAACCTAAAAACCAAATTTAAATCAATGGCAATAAAGGGCCATTTTGAATCACATTCTCAAAATCATTATTTTTTTCCTGCACACCCAGTGTAATTGAATCCTCTCCACACTAACCAATGATTGTGCAAAAAATTATAGTAGAAAACGCCATTTTAAAAGTAAATACCCCAAAAAGTTCATTTATGCGCATTTAGTAGTCAGGTAACAACATTAATCATTAATCATTGAATAAAGCATGATCATGGAGAAAACGTGTGCTTTAAAAAGAAATGAAATAAATCGTCCGCTAGTAAAAAGGAATGGCCTTTGATGGACAGGAAAAACTTAATTATATTACACTTCATAAATTCCTAAAAGTAGAAAGCAAATGTTTGAGTAGTAAATCTTCCCAACGAGAGTTAAATAACTTTATCCGATAGTTGAATATCCTCTGGTTGCACTGATGACAGAGAGAATGAGTAAAGCCCGTGAAGCATAAAAACTAATTTACCTGAGAGTAAAGCTGAACTGAAGACTCTCCTTTGAGCTGATGTCCAGTGAGATAAGTGTTATGAGAGCTTGCAATGTAATACTGTGACAATGGTTGTTGCATCTCCGTGTCGGAGGGTATTGCGTATTCATTTGGAAATGCGTAATTATCTTTGTCCATCATGTAACGTGCAAAGCCCTCAAACGACAAGCACGACTGGCCCCTCAGTGCTGGATCAGGTTCATGCCTCTGATTTATTTTCACAGTGAATAAATTTCATTAGAGTTGGAGTATTAAATAACCGTGGAATTACAAGGAATGAGTGATTACCTTGATGAGAGCTTTAATCTGGTCATCGGTTAACTTTTCCTGCTGACGCGACTCGAGAAATTTCGTGAATGTCGGCAGAGTAATTACTTGAGATTTTGAAGTGTCAACGCCTGAACAGTTGTTCACGATACTTGCTGCTGCAATAGCATCAAATATTTGTTTTTTGTGGAGGTTGCCACTTGTCTTGTACTCGTGAGAATCTATGGAATTATTTCGGGTGAGTAAACCTGTGAATTTCAGAAGGAGAAAAGGTAAGTTAATATCAGACTTGGAAGTTAGTTTTGTTATTAATTAATTTTTCATGATAATTTGGGAAAGTGTGTGTTAAAAAAAGTATAAAATCCCTACCACAATTCAATTATCAAAGTTAATAAAAAATGAAAGGAAGATATAAGTCCAAAAAATGTCAACGAGTCGTGAGAATTTTCTTGTGTACAAAAACAATTTCTACAAAATTATTGTTGATTAATCGAAATGTGTTGGGAGATATTTCTGTGGTATTTACTCATCGAAGGTATGAGAAGGGATGGAGAGAAAAGGAAGATAAATCAGGATGGATAGTGAAAAATACAAACCAATTCGTTGTGGTGTAGCATCGCTCGTTTGCCTCAGTACAGATGGTCTCATATTGAAGTCACGGAGTGAACCATCACTCTGACTACGGCATGTGATTGCAAGCTGTCCAAAGAGATCACGTAGGTCCTTACGTGCACGAAGACTGAATGACCGAAAGAGTGCCACGAATTCAACGAAATTCAACTGGGTCTCGTACATGATTGAAGTGGCTCGGGCTTTTACTTGCCATGGCGCTTCGCCCACCGCTGGGGATATACTTGAGCCATTTCTATCCTTATCTCGAGTTACACACAGTAAACTAAAAATTATTTTGAATAAATCAGTGTAGGAAAGCACAGCTTTTAATATTTTACATTTTTTCCACGTAAAAATGTGGAATCATAAATTTATAAAGTGAATTAAACATTTATAACAACAATGTTATCAGGGTTATGCTTTTTTCAGTTAATTTTTTCTTGTGCAATCATATCGAGAATTATCCTGGGTAGCCTATCTAATCTAGAGTCCTAGCCAATGATTTCCTGTCTTCTATGAATCATTTTGTTGTCAACAAAATTAATAATATCATGATCATAAAAATGATCGTACCATCACAGAACTTCGTGAGCCATTAAATAATGACAAAACGCAAAAACATGCTATTTTTCCCATCAATCCCATCGAAGATTTGCCACAAAAATGAAAAAACGTGAATTTCGGCTATATATGGGTGTGTACAGTAAATATGTGCTAAAAAAAAAACAGGAAACAGGAAAAATGAGTGGAATTCCCTAATAACACGAGTCGCTACAATCTTTTTCAGAGAAATTGAAGTGAATAAAATCTTTCCTATTCAATTCATATTACTTGTTGCTTATCTCCGGAATTAGTGCTAGTATTCAGAAGGATATTTGAAAATCCAGGGTGCAAGGACAAAATTGAATCCAGTCTGGCAAGTTCTCTAACAGTTCGTTAAACTTGACACTGACTAGTGATTTACCACACATTAGAAGACTCTTTAGGTAGTTAGTTATTATCAAAGGCTTTCCGATCGACACATAACAGAGGAACTCAAAACTTTCTCACTTCTCCCTCTATTTACGATAGCAACTTGGCTGAACCATCGCAACGTACCGAGTAATGAGCAACAATGTCACTACAGGGAGGGAAACTCTTGAGAGTGAGTTAAATCAATTCTTGTTTCTCAAGATGTAGGAATTTAGACGACTAGAGTGATCCAAACGCATCAACTGGTAAAGTTATTTGCAGGTACTTGATGGTGAAGTGAGATCAAGTTTTACCCAATTGATTGAAATTCACGGAGGAGCGAGGGGTTTGTGGCTTCCGGGGGCTATTTGATGGCTATTGGAAAATTACCTCTGTAAACTGGAGTATGGCAAGCTTGATGAGACAATGCGTTCACCAGTACCTGGTGGACTGCGCGGTGGTACTCGATCACGACTTGAACGCGGTGATGCAGGCACTATTCTCGTTAAAGACTCACCGCTACCCGTTAAATGACGCAGTGGTGCCGCTGTTAAACCACCCTCCGACGATGATGAATCGTATTGCTTGAAACTCAGTTCCTGAAATTTATCCCGTATTTTTATGAGAATTGATGAATACCAAAGTTTCATCACACGATCGATTGGGTACAACTGATTTTCATTTTATGTTACCACGGGTGAACATGTTTAATAGAAACACCCAGCGAATTCTTTCAGTAAATTCTGCACTAGCTCTTTTTTTATAATTGCCCTTTTAGGGAATTATACTGGAAATTTTATGTGAAAAAACTTTGATTTTTCATTGATGAATATTTGTTTTTTTCTTGAATATTTCTGTCAATCGGAAACCTTCAGGCAATACGTGCTTCGAGTTTTTATTAAATTCAAAATTTAATTTAATTTAACGTTTAATTTTCACAAGTCCAAAAATCCAAAGGTTTATTGAATAATCACTGATCATTTTTACAGAAAAAAATCAAATTTTCTTGAATCGAATAAGGAATAAGAAATTCAGTGGAAGATTTCAGTTAAAATTAGAATGATATTCACATAATTGAGAATTCAGATCGGACTGATTGAGACTTAAAAAAAAAATCTCATAATGCAGTGAAAGATCTAGTTAGTTCTAGCTGACATTGGGGAAATTTCCGAAAAAAAATTGTCTAACTACTCGGGTATCCTTAAGGATTAAACAAAAATATTGTTAAAAAAAAACCTTAGTCAGGGCATGAATATTGCTAATGGATTTAGTCTTTTTGCCGGCCTTTGGATTACGTCGTCGTAGTGTAGCACTACTGGTAGGTGACAGTGTACCAATACTCTCAGTCATTGACCAATCGCGTCCACCAAATACCCTTATGGCGTCAGCCGTGGTAGGCTCAAGGCAACCTTCCTCAAAATAAAGTTGTAGATACTTCTCCTTTAACCATCTCGATCTTCTGTCTGTCAACTGATTCTGACGCTTCAGGCCACGTAATATCCAGCACAGTCCCATGTACCATATTCTGTAAAGAAGTAATAAATATTGATGGACCATAAAAATCGTCGAGGTAATTGCATAAGGATAATATGTGAACATTAATCTTTCCAATATTGTTGACCCCACAGAGAATCGCCCTAGGAATCATGGCGGAGTTATGGCTATTATATGAGACTTTTATGATTTTATGGGGCTTCCTCCTTTCTGAATATTTACAGCCTCAGAGGAAATTTATGGCAGATAATGTCAACTCTGGTTTATGCCAATTTGTTCAATATCACACTCTCAGAAATTCCGGAAGTTTAATGGAAAATATGATTGGAATTTTGACGATATCAGAGAAATTGTCATCGAAATTTGAGTTTTAGGTGTGACTCAAAGAAATTTACAATTTTTTCGTGAATATTCATCATTTCTACGGAACAATAATTGAATCCCCAATTACTGGTACTGATCTAGTTACTGGCCCTTATGTTTATTGTTCTACCGAATAAATTACTCTTATCATCAGTTATCTCTAGATGAATATTTACATAAGGCCCGGGTGGACTATCTATCGAACGTCGACTTTTGTTTAATTTTCATCTTTTTAACCTAAAATACATTAAAATTTGGGATTAATTTTGGGTTGCGGGAAACAATAGAATGGACATGAAAAAATAATGAAAAAAAAGAGGAGAAATTATCGAAGGGTCCTAAAGATCGATATTATTTAAAAGGAATTTACCAAGTTTGCTAAAAAATAATAAAAAATACGCAGCTTACTATTGCATCTAGCTGTCACTCCATCTTCTAGAGAGCAATGGTAAGCTGCGTAATGTTTATTATTTTTGTGTAAACTTGGTAGATCCCTTTTAAACAATATCGCTAGTAGCGCCCTTCAATAATTTTTCCTCTCTTTTTTCATTATTTTTTTATAACCATTCGAGTAGCTCCCGCAACGCAAATTTGATCCCAAATTTTAATGTATTTGAGGCTAAAAAGATAAGATTTAAACAAAAGATGACATTCGATAGATAGTCAACCCATGCCTTAAACACTTTATTTTCTTACGGTGATATCTACATCGACATCGTGGAAATTGAATGACTACAAATATTCTTAATCAATTTTTATAAATAAATTTCAGTGCTAATTATTGGGTCATTGTAGCTCCGGAGAGTTCAATAGTTCGTATTCAAGAAATGAATTTGACGTGAAGAAAATTTCAAGGAGACTTTATTCGTTCATATAATCGCAAACAGTGATATAATGTTCTCGAGTGAAGCTGGAGCGACAATTAATTAATTTCAAGATTTGTTAACAAGTGAAATTATCCCTTGCATGAAAAGATAAAGTGCCAGTAACTGGTACAAGAGAAATTTCTGTAAACTACCGGTTAATGAACCATCGATTTCCGTTTCCATTTAACTCAATATTAATTTATTCACGCATGAAAGACAATTAACAAATGATTAGTTTATGCATTTTTAAAGTTAAAGTTCGTCTTCTAATGGCAGTAACTGAATCACTGGCGATATTTAATCTATGATCACATGATATGAACCAGAAAGAATAGAAAATTGAAGAAGATTAAAGATGGAGATTAAAATATTCAACATTTCATACTCACTTGCTCAGTGTTGGTGGTCCGAGAAGAAAAATAAGACGATTATCGGAAAGATTGGAGCCGTACATCAGTCCAATACAGGAGTCTGATCCTGGAAGGCCATATCTCTTGCAGATGCCCCGTAGTTCAATCTCCCTGTCCTTGTCACAACAGCCAATGGTAACTTCCTTAACTGAACTCAGATCTAGATAACCCTCTTCCAAACTGACTGATGCACAGTCAGCCTGTGGTGATGTGTAACGCGTCACAAGTCCAGATGGCACATTCTCTTCGGGGTTAACTGTCAGGGTAAATTCATTTGATATTGAACCAAAACCAGCTGTTTTTAGGGGGCTCCAGGCTGGCTTCTCCCATACAAATGTGCCACATGCACGATCAACACGAGCATAAACCAGAGATGTACGGGAACCACCTGCTCCCTCGCAGTCCCAATGTACCAGAGTTGTGCCGTGATGAAGTACCTGTTTCAATTAAAGAGATTATTTAAGTACGAGTCACCGATGTCGGTAGCTCAGTCAATCATAGGGTTTTTTTTCGGAATTCATTATTTTCCCTATCATATCAATTTTCTGCACTCTTTCCCAAGTACAATTAACTAATACCTTACACTAAGTCTCATTATATTAGGTAAAGAGCCAAGGGCTGGAGATCTAGCTCCTAAGTATTACTACTTGTACATACTCTGTATAATATGTATTTAATGTCAATCAACTCTTGTTAAAGTTAAAGTTAAAGTCAGCTAAACGTAGCTCAGTGGCTAGGTGCGAGCTTAGTGTTCTGAAAGTTTAAGTTCGATTCCCAGTTGAATCGAATTTTTCAACAGGCACCGATGAGCGGGGGGTTGCTAATAGAGCAACCGCCTGTACCGACATGGTTTTTTCTGTGGTTTCCCATGTCACTCCTATGTTCCATAGAAGATTGAATACGGTACAGTGTAGGATCCACAGCCGCATAGACTCATTCAATGACAGAATGAATTTTAAAAAGTCAACTTTACGTGACTTGGAGTTTGATTTGGTTGACTTTGGAAAAAAATTAAGTGATTTAAAATGATTTTTTATGGGATTTCGTAAGAATTGACTTCAAATAATTTCGTAGATTCGAAATCAATGGTTTCAGATGCAATGACGACATTGAATAAACAATAAATGAATTTTAAGAATCGAAATAGAAGCGGACAGAAATCAGTAGAAGAGTTTTTACTTTGATTGATTTAACTGATTTTGGATAAATTCTGCGAGTTCTCAAGACTTTATGATGTAACTTCAGATGATCAATGACTTTGAGAGTGGGTAGCCCCTTGATTTCTATGTTTTTATCTAGTTATCTGCCGAAATACTTGTTATTAAAAATCGATAAATGACAATTCGGGAGAGATTCAAATAGAATAAGCGAAACAATGATTTTTTCCAGAGCTGTGAAAACCTGTGTAATCCACTGAAAAAAAACCTCTGTAAAAATATCACCCGCGGAGCAGCATCGCAATTTAATTTTTATGACATCCCGTAATATTCAGATAAATGACGGTCGATTATCCAAGCTGTTAAGGTGATTGAGTGGCAACGGAGTACCCTGGAAAATTCATCCAACCCGAATGAATGCAACCAGGGGTGAGGGTGAGTGGGTGCGAGAGAGGTAGAGAAAGTTGGAGAATTTATCGTTGGAATGGTGGCGGAAGTAACACGGTCAACATCTGGCTGTCACGCGACACACACACCAAGTATTTGTCGCTTTGGTATCACGATAGAGTATTTTATCGATTTTGATAAGGGGAAAACTATTCTCCTTAATGTTCCTGGGTTTTGGTTCAGCTGGGGACCTGCCAACTTGGATGAATCGAATTTTTGTTGAGATGGTATATCGATTACCATTCCAGCTGACTCCGTGACACTGAACGTGCCCCAGTGTCATTGACGAGTCTTTAACCTTCAGCTCCACTCACCCTATATTACCCTTGGTCCAGGGATGATAGCATTGAGTCAGCTGATTGGCGGGTATTACAGACGTTAACGAATGCTGAGTCGTTTGTTATGGAAATTGAAGATTTTCGAATTCTCTCTAATTGGCAATTATTTTATTTTTACCTTTTGAACAGTCATTTTCGTTCTGATTAAGGGATTCACCATTTTTTTAATCCATCGTCTTCACTGGGGAGAAAATATATTTTTACAAAAATCCGTTTACTCGAGAGCAGTATTTAATCATTTGTTACCATATTTATCCGATTTTCTACAAAACATTCAGAACAATTTTGACGGTACCGCCAGTACTTTTCCCTAAAAACGAAGCTCGCCCCTTTATGTAAAAGTTCTGTCATTGCTCGGGTATTTTTCTCTCCGTGCAGTCGAGTCTTCTCCATGACATCTCTATTAGTTTTCATTTCGAGAGACAATCATATCGCTTTCGAAGATGAGCCTGTCAATGACAGCTTTGAGCGAGTCCTCTTACATTCATAACTTAAAGTTAAAAATTATTAGACTGACCTGCAAAAGGTGAAGATCCATGCCATTATTAGGTGCAGCAACTGGAAACAATGCAATACCATGATCAGCAGCTAGGGGTTGAACCGGCTTGTACGAATCAAGGTCAAGGTGATAGTCATTTTCATCGCACTCTTCAGTCATATAATTTTGCTCGAGAATAGCTGTGGTGTGTACACTCAATGTACGATGGAGTGAGCCAGTTGTGGCATCTCTTCCACGCGCGTGACGATGCTGATGGAACATAGCAACCTTGTCGAGGACTACATTGGTGTCATGTGGACACTCGAAATTTACACCTTTACTGGTACCGCCACCGCTGCCGCTTGTACTCCCTGATGAGCTCCATCCGGAGGGAGCATCTGCATTACTCTCAACAGCGGTTCTCGCACCTGGCGAGGGCGAAGGCACGTGTTCGAGGGGTGGGCCCTCCTTACTGCTAGTTCGCTGAGTCTCTCTGTCTTTGCTCTCTCCTGGTTGCTAAACAAATTTACACCCATTTCATCATTTTAATTCATCATCTGTTAAAAATGTCCAAATGGAAATAACCGTTTTTGGGTAATGTTTAGAAAATTCGCAACTGAGTGTTTCAAGAATCTGTTTTGACTCGATGTCATTCAATATCTCAAGCGAAGGAGGAGCTTTGATCCATCTAATACTTTACACTATCAGAACTACCGTAAGAGGAAAATATGGGTTGGCGTATGCCCCAGTCAAGTTATATGATTCCTGTGTTGTTTATGGAGAACTTGTGATAACACAAGCATATCATATCGTACAGTAATAATTCTGATAATAATTCCCCTCTTTGCAGGCTTGAATTTCTCGATAAAGTACGCGTGCAGATCTACTAAACATTTATTCTTTTTTTTTGCTATTACATGTATCCATTAGAAACCATTAATATTTGAAAAATTATATGTAAAAATGGCTCAAGTTCTATAAAACATTTCTATGAGTTTATATGAGTTAAACTTTAGAATCAATTGAGAATTAGAGATTGAAGGAATTCAACAGGTTGACATTCTCTTTTACTGTGTTACAAATAAATTTTGTAATTTATCGATTCAATTATAAATAATGAATGATTGATTTGAATAATGTTATTGTAACTTTCCTCTACTCGAATATAATTGGAAGGAAGTAACGAAGACGAAGATTCCTGAAATAAACAAGAAATGACGTCCGTGCTCTCAACTTCGGTAACTTTTCTTTTTCATTCCCTGGACTCTAAATAAACGGAGTAAACATTGTTGGATACCGTACCATCAGAAATTCCTCCTTCCCTGGCAGTAATGTATTTATTATTCACAGTTAGCTCGCCATTTCTCTGCTAATGCCACGTTATTTCCATAAAACTGCAACTCTTCACAAAACTCATACTTACCACGTAACTCTACAATTTTTTTTTATCTAGTTTGGAAAAAGCAGTCAAGGGAGAAATTGCTCTGAATAATTGAATAATTATGGGGATGGTTCAATACTGAATACATTAGCAGACGTTATTTTCCAGATAATCACGCTCTCTATTGAACCATTGTCCTATTCGATAAAGCGAGTAACAATACAATATAGCGTTTGGATATGAAATGCTGATAGAAATGAACAAAGAGAGATCTAATTAGGTGAAAGCATCCATAGCAACCTTGAGGGTATATTATTAATTAAATTCCATATCACTTATTATTGTAAATTCAATATTTTCTTTCGCGGTTAAATTTTCTAGACTCACGAGTATAATGGAAATAATTATCATTCCAGCTAATGATATGGAAATTCCTCATATTCCATGATTCGTATAGATAAATAGAGCATAAAACAAAAATTATTAATCCTGTCAATTGAATTATTATCCTTGAATTTCCAGAAATTTACATTATTGAATATTTTTTTTCTATGTATTGTTAATAATGGAAAAAAATCATTTATTCGTTTTTCTCTCGTTTTTTTTTGTGTTTGAAATCTGAATTAATCACGACGAAAGTAAAATATTAATACTGAACATGAATTTTTCATTTGTTTTTGTTTTTTATTTGAGATTGTCATCAGATTTTGATTTTTATGCGGAATTGACAATGAATAAGTGAAAGACATGAGCGCAGACTGAACAGTTGATAACATTTTCCAATCTATATTTTAGCTTTCATTCTTTGCAATCGATTCGTGCGAAAACTGCAAAAAAATATTTGTATCGATGTAAATATAATTGTTTAAAGCGTAGCAAGTGAACAATCTGATGCTATCGAACAGCTACGAACTAGATATTGAATATACACTGAGAAAAAAAAATTGATTGAACTCGTTACGATCTTGATTAAAATTTGCAATTAATTTTTTTTCATCAGCAACTAATCAAATTGCCATTTCATGGCACGAAATGTTTATTTGTAATCCGAAAATTCTATTCACAATGTATTATACTTGGAATCAATTCGCGTACTTGAATCAAGTATAAAACAGATAACAAAAAAAAAGGGAATACTTTATTGAAGTGAGTGTTTAATCTCATCAAAACGTGAAGAGTCATTTCGGGCTTAGATCAAGGGAAAAAAACGATTAAATGATAATAAATCGCGTAAATACTTGATGGACACTTTTTTTTCTCCGTGTATTGAACGACATGCGGCATGCATTATTAAATCGATTCCAATAATTTAGTGAGCCTGTCAAAGTCCATGATAAATCTCCCATTTAATTTTCAACAAAGAGAGTAGTATGACAAAAGCCGTGATAATGTAATCCTCTCAGTGTATGCTTTGAGCAATAATTACATTATTATGTGCGATAATACGTCGAGCATCGAGGGTACTTCAGTTACAACAATGGCTGCGATTGAATAGAGGGATGGGGGAATAAAGGAGTCGATGAAAATACCCAACGACCCATAACACAGTTTCACAATACATTGCGTCGATGTGTTCTTCGTTAATTGCGATTCGCTCATCAATTTTTGTAATTGTCGAGTGGTGAATATCTTCATTGAATGTCAGCTGTTGATTTAAGACAGAGAGAGCAAGTAGTTTCCGCCGGCCTACAACTGTCTTTGCTGCTGGAGGCCGATAGAAACCCCTGACCTCAATATCTACATTGTTCTCATCTCCACGATAACAGATTTTCCACTTTTCATAATGATCAAGCTTTTCCTATCTCAAGTTGTAATAATTTTTTTTTTCTCCCAATTACAGAGTCTCTTAGTAATTCACTAGCTGCGAGAGTGTCGAAGTTCTTTGTCAACGAGAAAATACTGTACAAAAAATTTCTCATGATTTCCCCTGAGACAACTCATTAACGAAGTTATTTCATGATTACGCAGCGCAATTGTTGAACGTCACGAGTGGAATGTAGAGTTTGTTAATTAGATGCAAATTAATGGTTTAAGGGGGAGATGTCAGGGACAGGTTTTGTTCGCCGGGGAAATTTCGAATGATTTTTTCAGCCATTGAGGAATCTACTCTGTATCCGTTTGTGTTTAGTGCCAAATTCATGAGTAGTTGAAATAATAATTGCCTCGAAGCTCATTGTTATTGCCTATTTGCAATGTTCAAATCGTATTGGCAGCCCCTGGAAAATTTTAGAATTTCATTGAATTTCTAGTGATTATCCTATTGGAATGCTTTCAATTCCATTGATTTTTCTTTAATGACAGAAATATTTTTCTCTGCAATTGACTTTAATGTTGCTCTCCCGGAAATTACGGCTAACATTAAAAATTTAATAGATAGACAATCAATTTTGATAGTCTGCCCCCGAGTTATTTCCAAATAAAAATTGATAATTGCGGATTTAAGATCTGAAATTGTAAAAAAACTCGAATTCTCTTTTTTATTTCAAATAAGAAAAAAATCCTCTTTATAATTCCGTTTTTTTGAATGAACTTTAAACGATTGAATGCTTATGAGCTTCGGCAGATGAAACAAAGGAAGAATTGATAAAAATCTCAAAAGAAAATTTGATATTTCGAACTGACAGTAACGTTTCACCAGAAAAATGTGAAATTAAGAAATCTGTTGGAAATTAAGTCAAAGTTTCGGTTCATGACAGTAATTTCGTAGTAAGAATCCCTAATTATCAAAAATTGTACCTCGTAACGAAACAATGTCAGAAGAAAATTTCAGAGGACCTTGTGTCCGAGATAAAAAGATGAGCTACGGGAGAAGATTTGCTAATTACCCCGTCTCCGAGATCACTCATTAAAAGGATAATTCCATGATTACACGACAAGATTGTAGAATACCTTTCGGAGCATGTACCCTTTGTTAATTATAAAGCAGAGAATTTTCCGAGAACAATGTTTCATTTTTCATCTAATCATCGCCCCTGACATCATTCATTACTCCAATAATTACGTAATTAATTGTTTAAGATAAAAATAAAAATAATTACTTATTTGCGCAAACCCTGAATTGGGAAGAGTTAGAAGTAATTTTGTTGGATAAAAATGAGTTGTCGAAATGATACTTTTCATTTGATGCATTCGACAGAAATGTAAATAAATTATTTGGCCTTCAAGAAGTGCCAAGGACTTTTTCCTCCCGCGGGAAATTGTACCGTCCTTGCTGTATATGACTTGAACTAAATTCGTGAGATGTCAAAAGGCTTGAGTCCCTCGTTTTCCAGTCCACACCAATAATCCATAAGTTCTCTTTCTCCGAGGCACAATTTCGAGGAAAAAAATAATCCAGAATTCTCGAAGAGCTTCGATACTTTTCTGCTCCCACAGCCCTTTACATTTTTACAGTTTCCCGATTTTCATCTTCTCCCATATTTTTCTCTCCATTTTATCATTTTTTTTTTCTACGGTTACATCCGTGTTATATTCTTGAATTACCTTTTCTCCACATCGAGAAAAAAATCCACGGATTTTTACGGCGTCGAATATCTTTTTATCTGGAAACTCGCCAAATCGCTTGGAGAACATCCGAAGACATCCGGAGGTGTAACCCAATCCGAGTGTGTTTTTTCCCTGGTTTTTGGGGTGTTTGATTCACTTGATTTTTACTGGCGGAGTGGAAAATTTAAGGGAATTCTTTTTGGGGGTTGGAGAGAGAGGGTGGAATGGTGGTGCAGTGGTGTGTGAAGATTTACCTTGGCAACTGAGGCAATGACTTCGCGTAACTCGCGGAGAAAGGCCCCGAAGAATGGCACAACCGGACATTCCGGCATTGCCAGGGCACGAGACAGCGCCCTTTCATATTCGGAAGACAGAAGGGCCGATGAGAGATACTCCAGAACCGGGAGTGGTTCATTTACGCTCTGCCAGAACGGCTTCAATTTATTCGATCTGAAACCAAAAAACAAAATCAATACTCTCAACAATTCCATCATAATTATCGATTGTATATCCACACGGAAAAACTCAAATGCACACTAATTTAAATAAAAAAACGTAATAACAAGTACTATAAAGTAATATCCCGTGGTTGAATTGAATTCATGTCTTTTTTCTGCGTAATCGGTGCACTGTAATCGATCGAATTAGAGTTTCTCTATTATGTTGTACGAGACCTACTGCGCACTCCGTGCGCCGAATTTGAATTTGGCGGTTCGACTCAACCAATGAGGAATTAGGCCGACGCGTTGCGAGATATTTCGACTCGGGCGAACTTCATTTTTGTGTTTCTACTTTTATAATAAGGATAATAAGGATTTATAAGGATTTATAATAAGGAAATAATGAGGAATATCAGCCCAATATGATTGAAAAAATCCAAAAAAGCAATTTTGATAGTGCGGTCGTATATGTGTGTGATGCGTGTGTAATATAATTTTCAAATTTCATATCTGATTGGTTACCAGTGTATCCGTGAAATGAAATTATTTTTTGAGATAACATCCGTCTCCCCTTTTTTCGTAAAAAAAAACGTTATTCCACGATAACTCAATAAAAAACGGAGATAGCGACTTGAAATTTGGTATGCTTCTAGCTCCGACAAGATAAACAGTTGATATTTTAGATGACTGCAATGGACTCAGCGGTTTGCGGATATTCCATTTATTGTGTAAATCTATTTTGCAAAATGTCTCGACAAAAATAGTATTTTTGGAATGAACGAGACCGGTGCGCACAATATTCGAGTACGTAGAGAGAAAATTGAACCAGCTTTGGTAGAAATGTTGTTCTTCCCGCGGAGATGCGTGGCACGTTTGGATGAGACATGAAACGAGGGCTGCCTTTCAAATGCATCCCCTTCTGAAGTGTGTTATACCATGAGACACGTGCCAACTCAAACTGATACTCTATATGCGGACGGACTCGGTAAAATAAAGTTGTTTCCTCTCTAGTTTTGTTATCCACCTTTTTTTCCAAGTACTCTATTCGATGGCTACCCTAATTCCATTGTTATCAGCATCACTCATGTGGTGGTGAATATTTCTCGATCGTTAGTGATACGTCGGTGAGAATTTGTTACCATTTCCTCGGTATTCTCATTCCTCCCGTTTTCTATTCCAATTTTCTCGCCCGATTTTTTTAAACTAATGAGATCTGCCACTCTCGTTTCATCAATTCACATCACCCCGGATTCTCTGAATTATTAACTAAGTGGTTGTAATTTATTGGTTTATTGGCTTATTGGAGACTGAAATGAAAATATTGATTATTTGGGTGCGATTTATAATTAACATTTTTTATTCTCCATTTTTTCCGCGGCGATATTAAATTTGTTAATTATACCTCACAACACGTCCGAGTCTCATTACGCCATTTTATGGGAGTATTTGAAAATAGTTCGTGTAACTAGACTTGCAATTATATGCAATTGTATGGAATTATTGGTGAAATTGAGAGGAAAAAATTAATATCGTGGAAAATCGTTGGTGTTGACGGTTGAATTCTGTTTTTCCTCGTATTTTCATTCCGCTGTCATGAAGATTTACAGTACTTATGTAATTGCATCAAATAAATCTTGCGAAGGTTTCTGGATGAAAGAGAAAGATTTATCAGGATTAACAGAACGTGTGACAGAGAATTTTGTTTATGGAATCAGGAGTTTCGCTGCTGTCAACAATTTTCTGTCTTTAATATGCAAAATATTCGAGACGAGAGATTTAATTTTTCTCCGTGAATGTTTGGTCCTCTGAAAATGTTTTTGTATCGAAGATTTTTTTGTTACACCGAACAATAATGAAATTTCGATTGGTTATTTCTGTGAAGGGAGAAATCCACAGGAGTCCTAGGGAAAAGTTGCATGAGCTCAGGGGGAATCCCAGTATTTCATTAAAATTCATCATATGACTGACAACACGACGTCAAAGCCATTCATACAGATGACTCCGACAAACCTGACTTGTCACATTCATTTTTATTCTCTCCTTTTCTATCCCTCCAGCGAATGACACGAAAGAAACACGGGTAAATCCTTGGTTCTATCCACTACTCTTTCGTGGGTAGAAATAGCAGAAGTTATGTTTTCGTTGACACTCCTGACTTGATAAAGAAAAAGTTCCACAGCGGTTGCCCACTGGGAATAAGACAGTACAGATAAATTTTACGAAACCGTCGGCGAATTTTTATTAGAATTGACATGCATATGAACTTGTGCCTCTCTTTCTTAAGAACAAAATATCAAGAGTCAGAGCAAAATGTTAATGTAGAATTTGTTCAATAAAAAAACAAATTTTTACTTTAGAATAATCGAAAAATAGATAATAATAATAATACATAATAAAATAATAAATAAATGGATAATAAAAAAAGATTATTGCTTTGAATCGGAACTAATGTTTTATTATTAATTATTTCAGAATTTAGACAAATCAACATTTTAATAATTTCAGAAATTATTATTATTAATAATAATTTATATCATTAAAATTATTCCTTCTATTTGGAATCTGATTCGATGAAATCTATTGAATCATTGAGGGGAGTATTGCATTCATTAAATTAATTGTCAACATTGCGCCAACATTGCGCTGACGTTGTGCTGACGTTACGCTGACCTTGCGCTGACCTTGCACATATAACATTGAGTTTTTCCAAAATTAATAATAGTAATCATTCCCAAATTCGAAATCGATCGAAATACTATTTCAAGACATATTTGTAATCGTAATTATATTGTATTTACTATATTCTACTATATTTTTACAATTTACGAATTCTATAATGTAAATTATTGAAAGCTGATTGCATAAACCTCTAATGTAATGTAAATTTACAACTACCTAGCCGTAAATTGGGTTGACAATCGCCATAAATTACGACGACATAAAAGTAATTTCCGACAATTGTAAATTTGATTGACAGAAGTAATTTGTTGTAATCAGTACAACTGAATTACTAAGTCCAAAAATAGTAATCCTGACTCAAATATATTGAATATCGGATTTGATGAATATAATGATTCCACTCGTACCCAGGAAGAGTAAAATATAAAATATATTTTGAAACCGAGTGATGGACGGAGACAAACGGTTTGGAATGTCTGGATCGTAGACGGAAATTGAGGTTGCTCGTAAAACTTTACGAACGGTGGACTCCAGTGAAGGCTAATGGACATACCGTCGGTTGATGCAGGTCACTTGCATCCCCTAAGAAAAACAAAAGAAAAAAAACTTCCCCCAGCCCCTTCCACGGTCTCTAAATCGCATGAGTCACTTTAACGCTTTAATAATGTAAACCCCAATGTTTCGGTTGGAAAAGGTCGTTGAGAGATACCAAAATGTGAAAAATAACCCCACAATTGTGGAAAAGTATTCTAGTGAAACGATGTCTGACTATCGCTGGACCATAACTACTTAAATGCTTGGTCGTATTATTCGATGAGTGCATACAGTTGATATAAATAAATTTGTGTTACTGGAAAATTTATGATCGAGATAATGGCTGACCCATTTGGAGGTGTACGCCACTGGGAAACACGAAATTTTTTTATAAAATTTTCTGCTTCACAGAAATTTTATAGTTGACTGCTAATTTTTGAAGTGATATTGGATTTTCTTCTATTCCAATTCCGATTCGAATTACCGTAGCACAATATGGAGAAACAAGACGATTACGATTTAAGAGTAAAAGAAAAAATATCTGCCCATTGCTGTGGTCGTTCTACTTATTCTTTAATGTTCTTCTAGTCGGCTCTGATTTAATCAATTACCGACGGTTTTTATTTAACAAAATATATAATTACTGATTATTGAGTATTTCATTTTCTTCTCCAAATCATTCCAGACAAGTCGTACTGTGAAAAGAAAATTGCTTGTATAATTTATTTATGACAATTGTGAATGTATATGTTCATATGAATATTTACGATTGAATTTTGTAAATGTTCTTGCAGTTAGTGAATCTGGTGAATCTGGTGAATCTGGTGAATCTGGTTGGAGAAATTACTAATTTTTTTAAAGGTACGGTATATGTCTGACCTATGCACGATTTATCTACTGTAAAGGTTAATTCCATAAAATATTCGTTATTCCGTCTGTCCACTTCCGTACAGTAGCTACTAATTCTCGATTCCAGAAAAAAAGAATCTCCTGTAACAAAAGTTGAAATAACGTTCAGCAGAGCAAACCGACGCCCGGAATTCAAACATGATAATGCATTTGAAAGATTCATTGTAAGTCCATTCCCGCGAAACTCCCCGGAGAACTTCAACTCTCATTCGGCTTCGGAGAGTAAAAAAAAACTTTCAGCAAAACAAAAAGCCGGCAAACCTTGGGGGTTGAGTTTTTCTCGATTAACGCTCGCAATAGTTCTTTTTTCAAACGTTCATCGAGGTTTTTCCTCCCTCCAGTAATATTTTTAAATCCTCAAGTTTTTTTCCGTTCAATTCCCTCCAGCCCCTTTCATCATGAAAACTAGAAACCTATTTCTTTTTAAAACTAATTTCCATTTCATTTGAAATTGTAGCCATTCAAAGTGGCTGATGCTAAGGTCTTGAGGTGTTTCTACATCCTCTTTCAAAACTTCAATACCTCTTTCCATTCCTTATCCACTAACTCATTCTATGAATCCCCTTGGTTTCTGCAGAAATACGTTCGGAGGATCAAATTATCTTTTACGAGTGATAGTCCTCGTTTCTCATCTTCTCTTGTGGCCAATTTCGTCTCCTCATCGACACCCGACTTTAATCGTTTTTCAGTCATTTAAAATAAGTGGGACGCTTCGAGAAAATATCGATGAAAATTACTCCAACACCAACTAAATCCTGATTGAACTCTGGGTAAGTCCCAACTAAATGCCAATTCCTAATAAACACTGAATAAATCGTAACTAAAATCCAAGTAAATTCCACCTAGATTTTAAAACTCCAACGAAATTCGGACCAAATCCAGACTAAGTTCTCACTAGATTCGAACTAAATCCTGACTAAAAATTGGACTAAATCCATGCTAAATTTTCACTAGAACCGAACTAAATCCTGACTAAAAATCCGACCAAATCCATAGTAACTTCTCATTAGAACGGAACTAAATCCTGACTAAAAATTCGACTAAATCCAGACTAAATTCTCACTAGAACCGAACTAAATCGTGACTAAAAATTCCACTAAATCCAGACTAAATTCTCACTAGAACCGAACTAAATCCCGACTAAAAATTCGACCAAATCCCGACTAAACCTTGACTAAACTACAAATAAACCCTGACTAAACTCGGACTTGACTTCAATTCAAACCAGATTAAAATTGAATATCACAGAACTAAAGAATCATGGGAGAATCCTCGAGGTTCGTACTCGATTGAAATAATTAAATGAATATTTTAGCCTTAATGACACGATTTCTCATTTTTTTTTCATGCGGTAACGATTTTTAACTCGCCCATTAGAACTCCCGAGGTCAGAATTAATCATGTTTACACAAAAATAAGGAGATTTTGGATTTGGCGAGTACACAGCTTCCATTTGGGAAGAAAAAAAAATCTACCCCTCCTTCAACTTCACTTAAACCCCACCCACTTGAATAAGTTTAACGATCACTCGTTGCCGACGAATCTTTGTTCTCCAGAAATCTCATCTCCGGTTCTTTCCCTAGCTAAGAAACAGTACAGACGAAAAAGATAGCGGAATAAGTTACCGAGAAAGTGGGAGGAGTAGGTGAAGGGGGTGGAGGATGATGGGGTGGATAGCAGACAGTGTTAGACAGAACCTTTGACATCGCTGTAATGATTCAACCGGAACTGCAAGGAGAGTTGTGAAACTTTGAAAAAAACTCAGTTTTTCATCAAAAGCGAGGAAAAATACAGCCAAAGTTGATTTTGTTCAATCTTCTTCCTTACGTCCAACAGTTCTCCAGAATGAACGATTAAATTCACTCCATTGTGGGTGAGTTATAAATAAAAATGGCGTTGGTGGATGGGTGCATGGATTTTTTAATTAAAAAAAATTGGACGGACGGTGAATTTCATGAGCAACTTTTTTCATTAATATATATAACTTTTTTCATTTTTCGCGAAGACTTGCTTTTGTTTTTTAAATAAAGGATGGAGTAATTCCGTGAGTGCTGCGTCGCAGCCGTATAATTAACGTCAATAGTCATTGTGGCGTAATTTGTTGATTTAAATAAAGAGCTTTCAAATCAGTGGATTGCATTTTTATCGGTTGACTTTAAAAATATTTGTAAAATCATTATGTTTATATATAGCACAGTTTATTTTAAGTGCTCTTATTGAGAATTTTTGATGGGCCAAGAAATAAAACAATGATTTTGAGCCCTATTTAAATTCCATTGACGCAATTCAATATTCCACAACAGGCCCAGAATTCAAATATTTTCACAGTACGATATTTGGGCGATATTTCTCATATATCAATACAACAGTCATTACTATTATTTACATCTTCCAATTCGATCGACAAGACATCGAAACTTTCTTAAGCCGTCATCGAAGTATTTCATTAAAAAAAAAATGAAAAATTAAAAAAATCTAATTTTTAAAATGTAAAATTTAATTTTAATTAACATTGGGTCACAGGGCGCAACAATCCTTGCATGTGGAAAAAGAAAATGCCCGGATTTCACGGATACATTAGGAAGTAAAAAAATATCTCTACTAAATGAGAAATAAATGAAGGAAGTTGTTTCATATCGAATCAATGGATTTTTTTATGTATGAATAATTCATTCCTGATGTATTTTCATGGATATGAACGATATGTTGGATTTTATGTTTATCTCCGTATATAGTTGATAGACTTTTAATGAAATAAATAAAGAAAACTGAGTGATGAGTGATAAGTGTGTTCACGGTCTAGTATCGTAACACTTTTCAGCTCGGTGGCTGCTTCCCGATCGAAAGATCTCGTAAAATTTTCAACTATAATACCGCGAGTGCCTGAAAATTATTGAGGATTTCGTAAAAAATGGGTTGCTTAGCATCATGTGTATGCAGTTTAGCATGAAAGTCGAAAGGGATTTCGTACCAGCGCCCACACTTATTGTTGAAGCCGATAATTAGTGCGAAATCCCTGATGAATTTTCAAGGATGAGAGGTATTCCACGGATTATTTTCTCCATTCAAATCTCGGTCAATGGGAGCTAGGATTTGGCATTTCGCAATCCCTTTTTTTCAGATTTATTTTCTCAAACATCACTGTTTTTTTTACATTTCTTCAATTGCCCTAATTGGCTTATTGAAGGATTCATAAACATTAGACTTTCAGAATTTCAAACTTGGGAAGAGATAACGTCCAACGGCTCTTTAATAGATTTGGAAAACACTTGGAAAAACTAACCCGGAGGAAGTCCAATTTTTAATTTTTATTCTAAAAAAGAACAAGCATAATTTTTTGAAAAAAATCAAATGACGAATCTGGTAACCTCAGGAATAATCCTTTGAAATCACAGCGTCAACTCCAAAATAATCTCTGTGCAGTTCTGGACATCTTGTCTTGTTTCCTACTCCACTAGAGGAATAAATCCACTAATGTACACGAACAAGACAAACTTCTCGGCATCTTCAGGAGCCCAGAGGGACTTGAGAGCAAAGTAACAATTGGATACTAAAGTTGCCACCAAGTTTGCACACACTTTAATTCATCGTCTGGCCTTGAACACCTCTTGGTATCTTGAGACGTCGGTGACGTTGGGAGAAGGGGCAATCGTTGAGAAATGGGTTAGATTCTGGAACTTGGAGATGTTCGAGTTATCACCACGGGTTTAGATACCAGGGTCCACCCTCCTGTGACCACTTTCCCCCAAGTATGCGATTCCACCGTGAGAGTTTCTAGAATGGTGAAGGTTGATTCTAGTGGGATGGATGGTTCACTAGAAGGACATGTCCCAGGGTCTCGGAATCCACGCAGGTATTTCAAAGTTTAATGTTTCCGTAAGAAATCACATAACAGGTTATAAACCATGTGTCTTTCTCATTTGTTATGCAGATAGTGAGATAGTTTAGGAACTTACTTGAGGCCAGCGATTATCTCCATCGCCGAGTTGAAGTTGCCGGTGTTCCAGCAGGTTTGGGCGACTCGCAATAGGCACGAGAGAAATGCCTGCCGCTCCTCGATTGTCGAGCCACTTGTTATGGTGTGAGTTACCCATGAGCTCACCTGAAATATCAGAATTAAATCATTATACTGGGAAAAAAGTATCGATTTAAAGTTTACACTCTTGATTGAAACTCACGATGGGTTTCGTTAGCACTTAAGGTTGTTGTCGCGCGACAGTCTCTGTAAAAAGTTTATCCGCTGTAAAACGGGCCAGTTTAGAACACAATCTTTTAGCGGTATATAGTCTCACTTGATTGATTG